CACACAGGTAGGGTTCTGGCAATCAGTCCACAAACCCACCTGCATAATGTCATTATTTTCTGTAATTCATCTTAGAGTCCCCCTTTGATGCTCCACTTGGCCGAGGCAACAGGTAACAAGTGCAGCTTCAAAGTTCCCAAGATTGGGCCACAAAATCCCAGGATATTTAGCAAGACCGAATATGGGGGCACGCTGGGAAAAGGGCGAGTTGGCAGTATCTCAATGGTCCCTCTGGTGCTGCAGTTGGCACCACATCTGCTCTGGGCTTGAGAAGGGGGAGTGTTTTGTGAGCCCCCTACAGTCCCAACCAGCTGGTAGGCTCGAGAGTCTTTCCTCAGTGGGAATAGCAGTGCATAATCCCAGCAGCTCAGGAGGCTCAGACAGGAGGATCAAGRGTTCAAGGCCAGCCTCAGCAATKTATTGAGGCCCTCAGGAACTCAGCAAGACCCTGTCTTTAAATAAAAAAACAAAAAGGGCTGGGGATGTGACTCAGTGGTTAAGTACCTCTGGCTTCAATCCCTGGTGCCAAAAAAAAAAAAAAAAAAAAGCCATTCTCTGGGGACTCAGCCAAGGCACAGTGGCAGATCCCCTCCCATTCTGGGCCAAGGTCTCTGCTTAGGCATTCCATTCCCTGAAGGGCTTCAGCTTTGGAAACACATAAACCAGCTTTTCTACTCTTAGGGATGCTACGTGCATCCCTTGGGGTAATGAGCACAGAAAAATAGGAAAATGTAGGAAAGAACAAAACAGATTAAAACAGAAATATATTGCATGGCTAGGCACAGAGGTGCACCCCTGTAATCCCAGTGGCTTGGGAGGCTAAGGCAGGAGGATTGCAAGTTTGAGGCCAGCCTCCGCAATGTAGTGAGAACCTATCTCAAAAATAAAGAACAAAAAAAAAAAGGCTGAGGATGTGGCTCAGCGGTAAAGGGCCCCTGAGCTCAATCCCCAGTACCACAAAATTAAAAAAAAAGAAATACATGTGTATTCTGCAGATCATGCTGGTTAAGGAGGGGGGAGGTCCCTGGAGAGGCCAAGATGCACACATCCAGCCAAGAGGCAAGAACAGTACAGGGGAGAGAAATCAGAGCCACCTGGAAACAGAACGAGGTGGGGACAGGGTTAGGGAAGGTGAGGAAGGAGGAAGCATCAAGAGTGGCCTGAGGGCCGGCCTGAGGACATAGGATGGCTTCACCTTGTACTTGGTGCACTGGCTTCAGGAACACTCTCTTCCTCTGTAACCTCTCCACCTGGCCAGCTCCTACTCAGACTTCAGATCTTCATTCATTCAAGCGTCTCTATGCAGAGCTGCCTTGTCTGTCCCAGGGCCAGGTCTGGCTCCTTGGAGGCCCTCAGTGTGCCAAGGAATGTCCCCAGGATCTGTTGGGTCTGAGTTGATGGGGGCTCACTTGCATCCCCAGTGCTCAGCACTTAGTAGCTGCTCAACAAAGGCTCCAAAACACAGGCAGAAGAGACAGGACTATATCCTGCAGGCTGGCCTTTCTCAAGGGGAGTGTGGTTGCTGGGTTTCCAAAGACAGACTCCCCCCATGTTCCTCTCATGTTCACTCCCAAAGGGAATGCGTTGTCACTCTGACTGTATAAGATTCTGTGTGTGTGTGTGTGTGTGTGTGTGTGTGTGTGTGTGTGATCAGTGTCCCTGAGGGACACAGGACTTGCACACAAGTCTGGAGGCAGAAAACAAAGTTGACACATGTTGCTGTTAGCAGGGGCCCATCCCGGTGCCAGGGATAAATACATTGGCCTGGGAGCACAGAAGGTAGAGGGTGGGGCACAGAGATGCCCTTGACACCAGAGCAGCAGATGGTAATGTGCAGTCCTCACCTTCTGCGGGCCTCCCTACTCTTTTTTTTTTTTTTTTTTTTTTTGCACTGAGCCTTGAACCCAGGTCCTGGTGCATGCTAAGTATATGCCCTGCCACTGAGCTACACCCCAGCCACGGAGCCTGCTCTGAGGAAAACAAATGTTCCCACAACCCACTGCGGTGTGGCTCATTCATTTACTTGTCTAGGAAGGTGCCTGGCCTTTGTGGAAGCTCAATTCTCTACCGACTGCAGCAGGAAGGAGAGAACCTTCTCCAAGTGCTCAGTGAGCCGTGGGAGAGGCCAGTCAGGTAACCAAGCCTCAGGGATTACCATTCCCGCTGGGAAAAGCTGCTGTGCGGATTAAAGCAGATAATATATAGGAAAGTCCAGGCAGTTTAATAAACTCAGGTTCAGAATCTGGGAAGAGAGAAGCCGGGCTGACAGGGGGGAAAGGACAGGAGGTGGYGCTGGGTGGATTGACACAGATGGGTCCCTGGAAAGAGCCCCACCTGGAAACCTCAAGGGGCCTGGGGGAACCCCCATGGGCCACAGCACCGTGGACACCTCTGCCCTACCCAGCCGGCTGGCAGGAATTTGCCCTGGTGACCTCCCCCAGGCACACTCCTGTCACTATGGAGACAGGCTGCAGAACAAGCGGCTTGATTGTCCCTGCTCAGCGGGGCAGGTGAAACCCTGGCCACGTGACCGATACTGGGCAGGTGCGGTTATGGAACAGAAGCCACCTCCCACCTTAACCCATTCAACACCGCCGCCACCACCACCGGGGTGCAGTGTCCCTGCTGCTTCAAGCCACACCCCTTTGGCCCTTGGTCCCCAACCACAATAGCAGTGATGAAATACAGCAGCATTGCACTAGGGTCAGTGGAGGGCAGATTCCAGGAAGGAATCGGACTGGGCCACCCACTGGCTGAGTGACCCACTGGCTGGGTGACATGGAGCTGGGTCAGTTTGCCTCCTCCCTTTCCTTGGGGGAATGGATGCCCCAGGAAGGCTGGGATTACCAGGAACAAGGATGTGAAAATGTACTCTCTACCCCACTGGCCTGACACTCCCACTTGAGAGAAGGAGACCCTCACTAACCCACAGCGGGCCTGCAATAAACTGGGGAGGGCGGGTGGGCAGCCGTGGGCCTTCCTCAATAGCAGCGGGTCCCTTACAGGCAGCTGCCACCCGCCCACCACTTTCTCTGGAATGTTCACACCGACACCTCAAACCAACAGGTTTTTCTGCTTACCAGGCCCAACCTTGACCAGCTGGGTGACAGGGCTGGGCTGGGGGCTAGGGACTGAGTACAGGCTTCAAGGCAGAGGTGCCCCCAAATCACAGCTCTTTGGCTCCAGAGCKGGAGGTCAAAGGTCATGGGACAGGCTCAGGTTACAAGGCTAGACAGTAGGGAGGGGGTAGTGTTTGCAAACACCTTTGAAATACTACCTTTCTGAACCAGTAGCCTCCATTTCCTGCTTCCCCAGCTCTAGAAAAGCACCCTTGGATGACCCCTCCCAGGCCTAGGACCAGCCCCATCCAGGGCTCAGGTGTCCCCATCACACCCCTAATAAACTAAGCTGGCAGCAAAAGAGCACACCACCTGGTGTTCTAGAGTCCCCAGTGACTGCAGGGCCCTCCTCAGATTAGAACAGAACACCTGCTGAGAGCCCCAGGCAAGGAGAGGGCACCTGGGAGTGCCCAAAAGAGGTGGGGGAGGCAGGTGTGCCACTGGGGGCCCACGGGTCATGGTCTGGAGGGAGCAATGGCCTGGCTACCTACTGAAGCTCCGCGTAAGCACTTGCAGGTGCTCTTGAACCCCTTGATGATCAGTCAGCAAAATTACTATTACACCTTGGACACAGGAAACTGGCCTAGGGCAGACACAGGAAAGGCCAGCTCTAGAGGACTGTGCAGGAGTTTGACAAATGCTTTGAGGACACAGGGTAGAAAAGATTCATCTCAACTCAGGAAATCTGGGAAGAATTGAGGAGGAGGTGGCAGTTATCCTGGGCCCTGAAAGATGGGCAGGATTCTGGAAGGCCAACATAGCCCCAGAAAAGGGAATGCAGGAAAGATCTCACTGGGGGAGCCTGAGAGTGCTTTGATTTAAACTCCTAACTTTAAGGACAGAGAGTCCCTGAAGGCTTCTAAGCAGAAGGACCCCTGATGACACCAACAGGGAAAGAAAAAAAATCAAAAGCAGCTACTCTTGAAAGTGTTAAAGGATGGACTGCAGGGGAGGCCAGCTGAGACCTGAAGCAACCTAGCCCAAACTGGGAGAGACCAGGACAGCTGGCTGGGGTTCCCAAACGAAGTGGTTTCCATGCAAGATGAGCTAAGTTCTGAGGGTGGAAAGATGAAGATTGCCTGTTACTCTGCTACTAAATGGCAGGGTGCCGATCTGTCCAGCAAATGATCGCAACAGTGCAAACACCTGGCTGGGGTTTGACCCTAGTCTCATACCCTGACTCGCATCAGGAAAGGGACCAGACCGAAATTCTGGTTGTTTCTTGCACAAGTCTTTTACCCTCTTCAATTTTCTCGTCTGTGAAGAGCCCACAGGGGTTGAAGATGATCWCTAGAGCTCCTCCTAGCTCTTTCTAGAGGGGACTTCAGGACGCATAAAGTGCTCTCGTACCGTCGAACCCCAGCTGTGGAGCATGGCGCCACCAAGCTGGCGCCCGGACGACAGGAGCCACTCCTGGCGCCTCTCACCCCCGCGCCAGCGGCATAGAAAGAATGGCACCCACCCAGTGCGGTGCGTGAGGACAGATGAAGAGGCCAGGTGGGGGCCGGGCGCCGGCCAAGGCAGAGCCTCTCTGGCTTGCCAAGGACCCGCCCCGCGGCCGCGCAAGCTCGCGCTCTGAACTGGGGACGTGTGCAGCGGCGCGGACTGGATTCCCAGATCGCTGTGCCACCTGCAAAGAGCAGAGCACGACGGGGCGGGGCGGAGCCAGAGTCTCGGATGGCCCCGCCCAGGGCGTGGCCAGGGGCACGGCCGAGCGCAGCCAGCGGAGATTACGTAGAGACGCACGGGGCGGGGCAAGGGGGCGGACTGGTCTCTGGGATTACGTAAGGGGACACAACCAGGGGGCGGGGACTCGATGGACTCTTCGAGGGCGGGGAGAGGGGCGGGGCTCCAGACAGAAATGGGCAGGGCTCCGTGCGAAAGCGGGAGGCGGAGCGTGGGCAGGCCGTCCCCTGCGAGGTGCGTGCCGGGTAGTGGCCGGCATGCTCTGCTGGGCCCGAGCCTGCAGGCTTCCCCGTGGGGCGCTCGGTCCCTCCACTCCAAGCTTCTCGAGGGTGCCCGTCGCACTCAGCAGCAGCAACGGCCAAAGGGAGGGCAAGCCGAGGTCAGTCAAGGGCACTGGAAAGTGGTGCCCTCTGCTCCTCCTCCCGCCCAGCCCCATGACCTTAACGGCCCCTCCTCCCCTTGGGCCCACCCCCTCCCCCGTCTCTCCTTCGGCAACCCTTCCCCCCTCTCCCAACTCAGACCCTCCCCCCATCGTCCCCGCAGGCCGCTACCGCTGTCCTACAGGCTTCTGGACGGGGAGACGACCCTCCCGGCTATAGTCCTTCTGCATGGGCTTTTCGGCAGCAAAACCAACTTCAACTCCATTGCCAAGGCTTTGGCCCAGCAGACAGGCCGGAGGGTGAGCTTCCGGGTGGGGCGGGGCCTAGGAGTGGGGCGGGGCCAGTCCCTAACCCTCACTTTGGGGGCCCTGGTTGAGGAGTGGCAGTTTTCTGGACACAGTAACCCTGAAGCAGAAATGGAAGAAGTCCTTCCAAGGATGAGTTCGCTGTTCCGGCGAACCCAGGCCTTGGAGGGACTCCCCATTCCTATTCCCTCATGCTGCCATGTGTCCATCCTTCGTTCATGTTTTAGATCTCCACTGGCCTACTCCACACTGAGCTAAGACCAACACCCTCCCTTTGAAAGTCCCTGATTGTTCACCAGGGACGGCAGGGAGCTCACCACCTTTTAACATTCCTCTGTTGGAAATTCTTGGAGTCTCCTTCTGGACTTATTCTGGGGCTACACCTAGCCAGTCCATTCCTTCAGAGACGTGGTCACACCCTTTGGGCCTTCTCTTTTCTAGCAGAGCGTCCCCAGTTCTCCATCTGGACCTCTTGGGTCTGGGCACTGGGCACTCTCACAATCTGAGCCCTTCCCTTTCCTCAAGGTCTGTCCCCAGACTCGCCCACCTTGATCTGCAGTCCCTATTGGGATACCTGTGCTGCCCCATCTCCCCAGGTGCTGACAGTAGATGCTCGGAACCATGGTGACAGCCCCCACAGCCCAGATGTGAGCTACGAGGCCATGTGCCAGGACCTGCAGAGCCTCCTGCCCCAGCTGGACCTGGCACCTTGTGCCCTCATTGGCCACAGTATGGGAGGAAAGACAGCCATGCTGCTGGCGCTCCAGAGGGTGAGCCGCCCCTGTCTGGGCTACCTCTCTCCAACTTAGACCTTAGATGCCCAGCAGGTGACCTGGGACTCATAAGCCTTAGAGGGCCAAGTTTGGGCTCCAGGAACTGGGCCTGCTCTGAGACTGGTCCCCAGTCCAATTATCTCCCACAGCCAGAGTTGGTGGAACGGCTGATTGCAGTGGACATCAGCCCAGTGAAGACCACAGGCACCTCAAAGTTTGCGACCTACGTGGCTGCCATGAAGTCCATAGACATCCCAGATAAGATGCCCCGCTCCCAGGCTCGAAAACTGGCTGATAAGCAACTCAGCCATGCTGTCCAGGTAATGCACCCAAGCTCCCTGATGGTACTGTATGTAGACTAGGACCTGTGAAGGGCAGAGTGGTGGCCTCACAGGGAGCCACCCACCTGCACTCAACTTTAGACCCCCATAGGACATGGCCGTGCGGCAGTTCCTGCTCACCAACCTGGTGGAGGTAGATGGGCACTTCCAATGGAGAATGAACTTGGATGCCCTGGCTGAGCACTTGGATGAGATTATGAACTTCCCACCACAACAGGAACCCTATTCTGGGCCATCTCTCTTCCTCCTTGGTGGAAGTTCCCATTATGTATGGTAAGCCAGCCCCGGCTACAGGAGGGCCACACCTTACTCCCTTAGCCCCCCAGCCTGGGGAGGACTGGGGTGTGGGCACAGGGTACCTGAGAGCCTGGAAACCACTGGGCATGTGGACTCAGGTTGCTCTCCCTCTCTCCCCACCCTACCCCTGTTTGTCCCTTTCTGTCCCCATTTACTCCTTCTCAATGGCTGCCCCTGTGATGCCCAGTCCCAGTCACCACCCTGAGATTAGGCGACTCTTTCCTGGCGCCCGGATACAGACTGTGCCTAACGCCAACCACTGGGTTCATGCTGACCGCCCCCAGGACTTCATGGCTGCTGTCCAAAGCTTCTTGGTCTAAGAGGTGCTGCCTGCAAGAGGAGCAGAAGGTCCCAGGCTTCGTGTCCTTGCAGCCTGTTCACGTTGCCACACAGGACTCGGGCGCGTACTGAGAGGGAATGGGGGTGTGCAGTGGCCAGGCCTCCAGGTTTAATGAATAAAGACAATTCCCCAAAATCCTCCAACGAGTTCTCACCACCAGCGCCCCAGKCGGGCCCAGGGGCTCCTGGCAGCACCAGGGTCCCCATGGGCACCCTGAGCGTCCCTGGCTTCTCTCTGCAGCTGACTCTGGACCTGCTGCCTCACCAGCTGCTGCATGTCCTCCTGGGGCAGGAGAGCAGGTTCAGGGCTGGTGCTAGACCGGCTCCCCACACCGCCCAGGCCCACCTGGCACCCCCACCTACCTCCCAGGCTTCCACCTCCTGTCTCAGCCTCAGTTTCTCCTCCAGGACCTCCAGCAGCTGGGCCTCCACCGCCCGCAGCCTGGCCTTGCATGTGTCCAACTCGGCCTCCACTGCCCGCTTCCTGCAGGTCGCAGGGACCGCAGCCTGAGGCTCTGGGCCCTGGCGGTGGGCAAATGTGACCACAGCCCCAGCCTTAGCCACACTGTGGGTGTTCTAGTGGCTTCTCTCCAGGATCGCCTGACTCCCCCGCCCCCCCTAAGCAGAGGCTTGAGGATGGCCCTGTCCCTGCCCACTCAGCAGGGGCCCTGAGTGTGGCCCTCTCCCCACCCACCCCAGTCCCCACAGGTGTCCTCACTTGGCGATGGCTTCATCCCGCTCCTGCAGGACCTGGTCCAGGGAAGGCTCTGTCTGGATGGCCCCCAGTGCTCCAGCTGCTGGAGATTCTGGGCTCTGTTGTAGGGGACAGAGGAGGGGACCATGATCTGGGGCTCCGCTAAATGAGGTGTCCCACCCTGGAATTTTCTACCCTGGCCTTGACCATGACGCTGGTGTCAGGAGGGGAGGAAGCTGAGGTGCCCTGTACCGGCTTCAAGCACCCTGGCTTGTGGCTGCTGGGAAGTAGAGCACAGACCCGAGAGGGCGGCAGGTGACACTGCTGCTTGGTCTCAGGGCCAGCAGAATGGGCAGGGTGTTTGAGCCTCCAGGGACGGGAGTCCTCACCCCCTCCTCAGGAAAGGAGAAGGTAAATGGGTTCAGGACACTTACCCCTTGAGAGTCCTGGACAGAAAGAGTGGCCGGGTGACAGGGATTCTTGTCGGCAGGGTGGGGCAAGGAAAGGACATGGCCCTTGCCCTCCCTTCCAGGCAAGGCACTCCCTGGCAGGCGGGCCCCAGTGGGCAGGCCCCAGCAGGCGGGCCCAGGGCAAGGAGCATAGGGCCCCTCCCTCCTATCCTGCATCCTGCCCAGTCCCTCTGCCAGTGCCTTCCTGCCCAGTCACAGGCCTCCTTTCTACTGCCTCTTGTGATGACAGGGTCAGCAAGATGCTGCAGCCCCCCACACCCCCATGAAGGTTCTGTTCTTGACATCTGGAATGGCATCGCCTCCACACAGCTCTGATCTCACCTCACAGGAAATAAGGAAAAAAGTTTTATTTGTGGCAGACGTCTCCAGACTAACAGTCCCTTGATATGTTGCTGAGGCTGACTGTGGATTTTTGATCCTCCTGCCTCGGCTTCTTGAGTCGATGGGATTTCAGATGGCACCCAGCCCTCTAGACAACTTGTCTGTCCCTCCTCCCTCCATGCATTGCTACATTCTAGGGAGCAGGTCTCAGGACCCCACATCACCTTCAGTGACAGTCTCTCTCTATGGGCACATTGAGTGACAAAACTCATAAGGAGACTCATCCCCACTGAGAGGCCTTTGCAGTAAGATTGTGTCTTGGGGACTGTGTTTTCGACTCAGCCCAAGCAGTAAATGCTTCCTCTAAGACCCTCTGTGACTCCTGATCTCTGGTCCTGACCAGTGAGGGTTGCTTCAATGGCCAGTCTCAGTGATTTTTGTGACTGGACCCCAGGTCAAGAGGTGGGCTTGGGCTGTATGGCTCTGCCATGAGCAGACAGGCCCTGCTCCCAGGGTGCTCCAGGGCTAGGAAGGATGAAGCTCAGGCATGGTGGTAAGAGAGTGGCAGTGGTCCCCGGGTGGGAGCACAGAGACAGCCCCTCAGACCCATCAGCCACAGGGATTCCTGAGGAGTTTGTCCAAGGTGAATCTTGCAGGCTGTCTGTCAGAGCCAGGACAAGGGCTAACATTTAAACTTTTTATTTTGAAACAATTTTAAATTGCTGTTTGATGTTTAAAAAAAGCTTTTGCAGTTAAATATTCTATTATGGTATCAAACGTTATGCCTGATTGTACATCTTGCTGGTCTCCCTCAATCAAGAACAATTTGCAGTCTTTGAGTTTCATGACCTTGACATGTTTGTAGTTTGCAGGGAAGTTATTTTGTAGATAGTCCTTCATTGGTCTTGCTCCGATCCTCCCTCTGATTGGACCACTGTTGTGCATTTAATGAATGCTGCGTTCTATCCAACGTCGACTGGAAACATGACTGGGGGTGTTAATTAAGAAGCATAAAAAAGTGGCTCACACCTGAAATCCCAGTGGCTTGGGAAGTTGAGGCCGGAGGATTGTGAGTTCAAAGCCAGTCTCAGCAACTCAGTGAGACCCTGTCTTTAAATAAAGTATATAAAAAAGGGGTGGGGATGTGGCTCAGTGGTTAAGTGTCCCTGGGTTCAATCCCTGGTACCAAAAAAAAAAAAAAAAAAAACAAGCTGGGCATGGTGGCGCATGCCTATGATCTCAGCAGCTCTGGAGGCTGAGGCAGAAGGATCACAAGTTTGAGGTGAGCCTCTGCAACTTAGTGAGGCCTGAAGCAACTTAGCAAGACGCTGTCTCAAAATAAAATGTAAAAAAGGCCGGGGACSTGGCTAAGTATTTAAGCACCCCTGAGTTCAGTCCCTCGTACCAAAAACAGACGGAAAGAAATGAACAAGTACATATAAGAACTGCAATGGAGAAAAAGTTGGGCTRGGGATGTGGCTCAAGCGGTAGYGCGCTCGCCCGGCATGCGTGCGGCCCGGGTTCGATCCTCAGCACCACATACAAAGATGTTGTGTCCGCCGATAAATAAATATTAAAATTCTCTCTCTCTCAAAAAAAATCTTAAAAAAATAAAATAAAAATAAAATTATAAAAAAAGAAAAAATTGACGGAATGGGAAGGACCATTTTACATAATTCTGCAGTTACCCTAAGGACATCCCAAATATTCACATACCTAAATGTAAAACAGCCACCTTGATCATGCTCAGGATTTGGGATCTCATTATCAGTAAGTGACGGCATCAATGACAGGTTCAAAAGCGCTGTGTTTCCAAGCAAAAATGACAATGATGGGTTGAGACAACTGTCAAGGGTCCCGGAGGAGGCGCTTGGGATGAGACGTGATTCTTTCAATGTCAAGGGGAGGCAGAAATTCAAGGGAAAGGTTTGGAAAAATCTTTCACAAACCAGGAGAGTGGGAAAGCTTTGTTTCTACATAAAATTCTCCTTTGAAATATAGGACTTTAAATATTTAAAATTTCAATATTTTAGCCACTCTTCCTAAGTAGGGATTCAATTATTCATCTCCATCTCTAAACGTTTAAATTAAAATATGAGGCCAATTCTCTTTTAATCTCCTCATTAGGAAAAAGAAGAGAGATTTATATTCAGGCATAGAGCGAATTCCATCCCAAAGTGCTGTCTCAACTGCCTGCATCCCCCGAGTCCTGCTCCCCATAATGGCTTGTCCCGGGCCTCAGGTGGAGGCAGATGGTGGCTCCGGACTAATGGTGGACTGGGGTCGAGGAGAACAAACGTGGCAGGCAGCTGCCCCTCGGACAGGGGACTGGACTCTGTGCTCAAAACAGATGGGATTTGCTGGGCTGGTGGTTTATAAATGCTGTCACACAATCCTTCACATCCTTGTCTGTGGGTGCCTCCCTGAACCTCATTGTCCTCATCTGTAAAATGGGTCTAGTAGGGTGGCCTCCCTGAAAGGGTCACAGTAATGGTTAAATAAGACCCCCACACTGTGACCAGTGCTTTGTACCATAAATGAGTCAGGACCAGGAAAGGAGCCCAAGAGAATAGACCTGCAGGACCCAAGAAAGCAACGACAGCACAACCTTAACATCAACAGCAACCACACACACACACACACACACACACACACACACACACACACACATACATGCACGCACACGCGTGCAAACACCAGCCACGAAGGGTCAGTTGCCCTTCCTGTTCTCCTCACGACTTTGCCCCAGAAATGTCTGTTCCTGAATCTTTCACAAGTTTCCTGCTCCAGACCTCCAGTCCCTGTACTTCCCCAGCACTGGCTTGTCATTGTCACAGCGTTTTCTCCCATCAGCCGGAGGGCTTCTAGATGAGGTGGTGACCTCATCCCAACCCCAGCACACAGGTGCAAAGCAGGAGCAGCGGGGAGGAGGCAACACCGGTCTTGTCCAGCAGGTGGCAGCAGGCCCCAACATCAGTATCCCAACAGCCTTGGGCTCACCCAGGCCCAAGATCGGGATGGAAACTTCAAACTGYGCCCAGGGCCTTGGAGAGCCCCCAAAGTCCCAGCCAGGGCTCCTTTATGGGAACACTGCTCATTMAAATGTGCGAATTTTTAACAATACATCTGCAAACACTGGGAATCAGTGAAATATGACCAGGTTCCTGCCCTGCAGTTCCTGAGTCTAAGGAGGGGACAGACACTGTCCACRCCTGACAGTTAATGCAGTCATTAGGTCTTCATGGGACATGCAGAAGGAGCCCAAACTCATCCTCCTGCTCTCACAGAGGAATGATTGGAGGAGGTGATGTCTAGGGGAAGGGCTAGGGGTCACAGCCACATGCATGGGGGAGGAAGGACACAGGCTTGGGACACTGACATTGCAAAAACCAAGAGGATGCGTGCCATGGGTTGTAGGGACTGCAGTGGGTGGGCACTGCAGCCAGCTGCTCATGGCGGTAAGGCTGGGCCAGGCCACAGAGGACATGGCAAGTCACGTTGACATACCAGGACCTCCTATTGCCCAGGCAATAAGGAAACCTCACTGCCCAGAACAAATGGGCGTGGACAGGCAGGAGTGGTGGTGCATACTGGGAACCCCAGTGACTCAGGGGTCCGAGGCAGAGGATGATGAAGAGCATGGGCAACTGAGAGAGACCCTGCCTCAAAATAAAAAATTGTTGGAAGGCGGAGGGTGAAGCTCACTTCCACCCCAGTTTCACACACACAAGTGGGAGGCGGAAACAGAAGCCGGTATTGGGGCTTACAGCTGCCCCCTTCACTGCAGTGGGGACAGGATATCGAGGAACAGACAGCAGGGGGACAGGGGTGTGGCATGGGGTCTGGTTCCCAGGGAGAATGAGCCCCCCTCTCACAATCCCTGCCTTGGTTACCCCCTGGAGTACCCTTCCCCATCCCCCACCTGGCCACTTCCAGTCCAAATACCCCCCACCCCCGCTCCACGGAGTGTCCCAGATTCCAGGAGGTCGGCTGCCCTGGGGGACCCATGGCATCTTCCACACAGGGTCTAACTCAGCCCAGGCCCTTTTTCTGGCTCCTCTGTCTCCATCCATCCATGGTCTGTCAGGAAACATTCCAGGTGGAGCATTCTTACACACACACACACACACACACACACACACACACACACACACGTGAACACATGCACACACACACTCCCTGGACAGTGGCCTATAACTTCCACCTCCACCTGAGCGAGACTATTCCTGACTCCAAGCCTCCAGCCCCTGCTGGGACCCCACATGGGCCATCCGGGCGACCCCCCTGCACGTTGAAGCAGACCCCTCGAACACCAGATGTCCCCATCTGAAGTCACCTCCTTCCCATTCATTCTGGAGGCTAGTCCTATTGGCGCCACCTTTCCCAGGTACCTGGAATATGACGGTTTCTCACCTCCACCACTGCCATGGCCCTGGGCCAACACTGTCACCTTGCGCCTAGTAGGTGCCCCTGCTTCTGCCCTCAACCCCCATCTGTCCCTTTTCAACCCAGAGCCAGGCTGTTAAAGTCAAGAGAGGGTTACATCCCTCCTCACTCAGAAGCCCCCTGTGGTCCCCATGCCTCTTGGACAAGCCTTCCATGACCTGCCCCTCCCTCAATTGCTCCACCCCTTCTGGGCTTGTCCTTGCCCCCTGTGGTCCAGCGAGGACCAGGCCTCCTGGCCTCCTGGTTCTTACCCAAGTGTGCCAGGCAAGCTCAGTCCTCACACGAGCTGTTCCCTCCACCCAAAGTGCCCCTCCATACATGGCTCACTCCTACCCCCTTCTCAATTTCCACACACGCAAGGGCCTACCTGACCATCAAATTTAAAATTCCCCTCCCCAGCCCCAGCAGTCTCTATTCCTTGTTCCCTACTTTATCTTCCCTATAGCACATTATCATCACTGTGATATTATAGACCAAGGACTCCATGAGGGCAAGGACTTTTGTCTGGCTTGTTTTCTGCCCTATCCCCAGAATCTAGAGTAGCCAGCCCAGAGTAGATGCTCAATAAATACCTTTCAAACAAAGGAATGGGAATCTAACCCACAAGGCTCCGCCTTCTCTACACAGTAAAGTTTAGCATTCAAGGCCTGCCTCCCTGGCCTTGTGTGCCACCTATGCCCACTCAGGCTCACTTAGTACCACAGTAGACCCTTGATGTGCTCCAAGAGCATGCCCACTCCCCCCCGCCCCTGCTATTTTCTTTCTTTTTTGGTAGCAGGGGTTTAACCCTGGGGTGCATGTCACTGAGCCACATCCCCAGCCTTTTTATTTTTTAGTTTTTGGCGGACACAACATCTTTGTTTGTATGTGGTGCTGAGGATCAACCCGGGCTGCATGCATGCCAGGCGAGCGCGCTACCGCTTGAGCCATATCCCCAGCCCCCTTATTTTTTAATTTTGAGACAAGGTTTCACTAAGTTGCTTCAGTTCTCACGAAATTGCTAAGACTGGCCTCAAATTTGCAATCCTCCTGCCTCAGCCTGCCTCATTTCTGGGATTACAGGTGTGCACCACCACGCCCAACTTCCTGTGTCTTTCTTTTGTCCAGGATGCTGCAACCTCACCCCCTCATCCTACTCGATGTCAGTTGTCTAGGTCACAATCCTCGCTGGCAGTCACCCTTTGGGAAGGCACTCTGGCTCCCTCTCATATTAGAACCAGATCTGGGTGCCCTACTTCACCAGGACCACCCTCAGTACAGAGCAGGGGCCCCAGCACATGGCTTCCCATGTGGTGTTTGATGAATTAATGAATAAAGTATAAGGTTTATATCAGAAAACCAGAGTTTAGGGTGAAGGGCTCCCACACCTTTCTTTATTCTTCTTTGATGCAACCATTTCATGTGTCTCAATGACTGACGCTGGGTGACCCCAGGGCTCTCTGAGGCCAGGAGCTGTCTCCACTTCCCAGACAGCCAGACTGGTCTCTAGGAAAGCTCAGTGGACCAGGAGCCAGGCAGCTCCCCCTGCCACTTGTTCCTCATAACCCTGGGCAAGGTCCTCTAGCAGGTGGGTCCTCGTTTCTCATCAGTCACATGGGGTGCCCCGGACACCGCCTCTGCAGGGCATTCAAGGTTGAAACCTGGACAACTAGAAGCAGCGAAACTGTCTTCAGTGCCAGGTTACATCCCTGGGCCAGATTTTCCAAGGAAGAAGGGAAGGCTGGAGCGTGTCCCCAGTCTGTCTCTCAGCCAGCTAACCTGTGCCGGAAGTCTGGGAGAGGTGCCAGGCCCAGACACACTGGGCAGCAGGAGCTGGACAGGCTCCAGAGTAATGCCTTAGCAGCCCTGGGTAAGGCAAAGGGGAGTGCTTGGCTTGAGGTTAAGAGGGTCTGAGCCACTACACAGAAGAGACAGCTGGGACTCAAGGGGATGCTGGTGTGAGTGTATGTGTGTGTGCGTGCACGTGTACTCCTGCAACAGATGCTGGCAGGGACCTAAAGGTTACATCTGTTCCTGACTAGCCCCCACTTCCAGTCCTCCGCAGGTACTACTAAGATCTTCCCATTGATTCAACAGGAACCTGGGCCCCAGTCTATGCTGCTCCAGCTTCCAGATAGGAAGTAGGACCTCAGGCCTGGGACTCAGGGTTGGGGAAGTGGGAAAAGGGGAAGGAGGGACCTGTAACTTAAATCTCCCTTTCCCAAAGATCAAGGGCTTCCTACATTCTGCTAGGTGTAGAAAGTAAAGAAAAAAAGGGCGGTCACCCAGCATGGGACAGATTAAGTTCTGGGGAAAGAGGGGCTCAGAGCCTGTGTCTGGAGGAGATGATGGGAGAAGTGGAAGAGCAGGGGCTCAGAGGCTGGAACTCTCGGTGTGTGTGTGKGGGGGACTTTGAGTAAAGGAAGGAAGGGGCGCAGGGGGTCCCTAGTCAATAAAGTCAAGGAGGGAGTTCCAATCTCTAGCCAAACCGGGGCGAAGTGACAAGCTCTGGAGTGAGGATCCAGGGTCCAGACCGAGGACGCCGAGTGGTCGACTGGAAAGGGGGCTGGGGCAGGGGAGGAACAAGGGCTCTGGGACTCCATCCTCTTAAGGGATCCTGCCTGGGGAGGGTAGGACAACGCAGGCTGCGGGCTGGGGGCGGGCTGGGGGCGGGCTGGGGGCGGGGCCAGGCCGGGCGCGGATGGCGCTGGGCGGGGCCGGCTGGGCTGGGCCGGGGTCCCGGGGGCCGGGGCGGGGCCGGGCAGGCGCTGCGCAGCCGCGGGGCGGCCGCCGCGCATGCGGGGCTCACTCGGCTGCAGCCGGCGCCGCTGCCACTCCCGGGAGCATGAAGGACCGAACCCAGGAGCTCCGCACTGTGAGTCCGGCCCCGCGCGCGGCCGCTGTCCGCCGGGGCGCCGCGCTCTCCCGCCCGCCTCGCACGGCCCTGGGGCACAGCCCGGGCGCCACCCAGGAGGGAGCCTGCGGGCTGGGACCCCGACCCCCTCCGGGTCCCGCCCCTCGGACCCACTGGGGTCATGGGCTCGCGCCAGCTCGGCCGCGTTGGCCGGTGGACGGGAGGCCGGGGCCTAGGGTCCTGGACAAACTTTCCGGCGCCCCTGGTTTGGGGGGTCCGGGGGTTGTCGTGGGGTTTCGGTGGCGGGACGGAAGCCTGACCTCTCCTCGTCAGCGGAGCAGGTCTTGCCTCTGTAGCTCCACTGCCCCTCGCGTCGAGCCTTCGTCTCCCTCGGTGTAGACACAAGGCAGGATGGGCAGACCGCAGTGGGAACCGGCCCGGCGCGGCCCCCCGCACGGAGCCCCGCCGCGGAGCCCGGCCCCGGGTGCGGGTGGCCTCCTCGGCGGGAGCCGCGCAGCCCAGCACCTGTGGCTCCCGCCCAGCACCTGTGGCTCCCTGTCCGCCGGGTCGCGGTCGGATCCTCTGCCCACCCCGGGTTGGGGAGGGGTTCACACCTGTTCCCCGCCCACCTTCAGGCTTCCCGGGAGCTCAGCCTGGCATTTCCAGCCCCTTCCCGGATCCCCTGGTCTGCCTGCGACCTCCGTCTGTTTTTCCACCTGTGTCTGGAGGCCCCTGGGGTGTGGTTCCAGGGGCGGGGTTTCAGGGGACAGTGGGAGGATGCTCAGAGGTTCTGACTCCAAGCCCACCGACCCCCAGCCCAGACGGGGATCTCCTGCCACCTGCTCCTCGTCAATGGGGCTCCCCTTCCCCTGGCCTCTGCAATTAGGGATGGCAGGAAGGGCTGTGGGGGGCAGTGGAGGAAATGAAGCCTGCCTGTGGGAGGGGCCAGTCAGGCTCAGTACCAGGTTGTCTCATCTGATCCCCTGACTGACCCCACCCATTGATCTGTGGGTGCCACCCCACTTCAGTGGCTCCCCAGAATCCTCCGTCTGTGCCCCACTTAGAGCCTGAGCCCTAGGTCCCCTTATATGCAAAGTTTGAAGTGTCCTTGAGCTTTTGACCCCTTGGCTCTGCCCAGAGGCTAACTGCCTCTGTGCCCGGGGTGCCCCTGTTGTGCCCCCATTGTACCAGTCTTGTCTCCTGGGCAGACAGCCCCGGGTGTTCTCCCGCCTCCATGTCCCTGGCTGCAGCATGCCATACCACCTGCCTTATTCCTGGCTGAGTGCCCCGCCAGCCCCTCTGTGAACCCCAGGAAGTCTCAGAGGAAGAAGATGCCCCCTCCTGTCGTCTGAGGTCTCTAAACGCTCTCAAGTTTCCTATGCAGTGTTGAGTCGGAAGCGTGGCAGCCCAGGACGAACAGCTGTGAGCTGTATTTGTCCATGTCAGGGTGCCTGGTGGGTCCCTCGAGGGACTGCGTGGGAGCTCAGTGGTCAGGACCACAGAGTCCCATACACCTGATGGCGGCCCCTGGTTCATTGGCCCTCATCCCCTCTGCTGAAGAGGAGACTGAGGCACAGGAAAACTGATAGATGGAGGGAAGGGTGGTAGAAAGGGGCCTTGCTGGTTCCTGGCCAGGACTGGGGAGCCCCAAGAGAGCTTGGATTGAACTTGAATCCAGATCTTTGCCCTGCTCCCAGATGAGCCTGAGTGGTCCCTCAGACAGTGGGACTTGACTTGGCTTTGAATTGTCTGAGGCACTCTCCAGGCACCCCAGCCCCACCCCAGGCACTCAGAGCCCATGAAGGCTGACCTCATTGTCACCAGCCCTGCTGTGGAGGGTTTCTAGCAGCTCCAGGGCGGCTGGCAGGAGCCCTCTCTGGCTGGGGTGACTAGTCAGACCTTCCTAGAAGTCCCTTTCTCTCTCCAGGCCTGGGGCGTCCACCTGTGAAATGGAAATAGGAAAACCTAGATCCCAGCTGTCCCCTGACTTCAGCTGCATATTTGGGGGAATCTTTGAACCCCAGGAACTCTAGGAATGAAGAGGCCAGTGGTGGCCAGGCTGGACAGAGGCAGCGCCTAGGACAGCAGCTGTCATGGCCCCAGCCTCCTGCCTCCCTCCTCCTCCTCCTCCTCCCTTCTCTCCCCCACCCAACGCCACCACATTTGGAAGGAAGGCGACGGGAGCTTATTTATAAAAGTCACACTTGGAGAAGGAGCTGGCGAGCTTCCTCAGCTCCGCAGGCCAGGCCCGGCCCTCCAGCCTTCCCCAGCCCCCACCCTTCTGGTCAGATCCTCCCTGCTCTTAGGCCATAGTGAGGGGACCATGGGGACCAGGTTAGGGGCCTCAACTCTGCAACAGGCCCTCAGAGACCAGGAGGTTAGCCCCTGGGGTGCAGGTGACCTCAGAGGGGAGACAGGTGACAGAGCCGGGCAGATTTTGGGGGTAGGGTTCCCCAGGCAACCACACCCTGGCATGTAGCTGCCCCCACCCCCCCGACTCAGAGGCCTTCCTGACTTCCGCCCAGGGGACTCCCCAGAGCGCCCACACACCTTCCTGCATACACTGGGCTACGAGGGTCATGTGGGAGCTGCCATAAGAGGCAAAGAATGACCACAGAGGGCGGGTTGGGCCACCTCGACCCTGGGAGGGCCCAGAAAGGGAAGCTGGACTTAGGAGGAGAGGGGTGATCCAAAAGGAGGGGCCAGCTGAGGAAAGCCAAGGGTTCGGATTGTCCAAGCAAGAGATATGGGCTGGTGGCCCTGCACAGGGCCTCCCAGGGCCCCCTGAGGTCTGTAGCAGGCCAGGCTCCCTGGGGCAGCCAGGAACCCCAGCCCCCAGCTGCCTCTGCCACCTCAGCCTCAGCTGCTCAGCTCGCTTCCCCATCTGTACAATGGAGCCAGTATTCCTTGCCCACAGAGGAGGCAGGAACAGGAGCCGGGCAGAGTCTCCCTCCTGGCCTCCCATCAGCTCCTTTGAGGACCTCAGAATAAACAGGGAGTTTGGGCATATCCCCCCACCCAGGGTGCAGACAGAGGGGGCCCTGCAGGTCTGTCCAGTCTAGCCTCCTGTTTTAAGCACCACAAAAGTGAGGTTCAGAAAGGGCCCGAGGTTTATCCAAGGTCACACAGCAGAGCCCAGCCCCTTTCCAGGGTGGGAAGTGCCTCCCTGAGCTCTCTGGGGCCCTGCAAAGGGGCATCTGCCGCCTGGGGACCTGGCATGGGAGGCACAGGGAGCACCCAGACCACAGACCCAGCGGTGGGGAGGAGAGAGGCCGGACCACAGAGGGAGCCTGCTTTCCTGGAGACCCAGAGTGGCCTCTCGCACATCCTGATTGGTCTCTGGGCCTTGCTGCACTAGTGGTATTGACTTTGATTAGTCATTAAAAAGAGGAAGAGAAAAAAATAGCCCCGGAGGCAGACAGCAGCGGGCGCTGGGCTGAGCAGTGACGAATCAACCTGCTGGTTGGCCAGGCGCCATCGCCGGGACGGCTGGAGGCCGTGGCCAAGGAATCAGACACAGGTCAGGAAGCTGTCCTGGAATCCTGCAGCCTCTGCCAGGAAGACCACCGGGGCTGCCCGCATCAGCCAGGGCAAGCCTGGGGCCTTCTGCCCACCGTGGCTCCCAAAGGGGGTCTTCTGATGGCCTCTGTGGTGGGGGCAGCCTTGGCTTCCAGCTTAGGCTGGGGAGATGAGGCTGGAGCTGGACTGCTTGGCCAGAGGAGGAGAGCCAGCAGCATTGCCCTGGGGCACGGGGTCACCAGCCCCGCCCCACAGCCCCCATTCAGCCCTCTGGGTGGAACCTGGGGAGCAGGGGATTCTGTTGCTGGACCACAGAAAAGGAGGGGTGGCAGGGAAAGAAAGAAAGAAAACCCACCCAGACAAATGGGAGGTTAGTGGCTGTGAGGAGGGAGAACGGGGTGCCCCCAGATTTCTGGCTTGGGGGCCTGGAGCAGAGTGGGTTCTGAGCTGGGGGCTTAAGGAGAGGGCTTTGGAGAAAGGTGGAATCTAGCGCTGGCCAGGTGGCTGGCAAGATGCCCATGTGGTACTTGGGCACATCTGTCCAGCCCCCTTGGGCCCTTGAGCCTGCAGCTGCCCTACAGTTCCAGCTGTCACCTCCACGTCAGGGCTTCCCAGGGCCTCAGATCCAGTCCAGCCCCCTTTCCAGATTTTCTGCTGCCGCTCAGGGGGCTGCAGATTCCCAAGGGAGCTGGAGACCCAATCCCCCAAACATGCCTGGCTGCCCTATTCACGAGCCTGTACGGCGCCCACCCTGGCCAAGGCACCAGGACGAGCAGGCTCACCGCATCACCCCATTCTGTCTTGGTCAAGCATGTGGGAGGGTTGGGAGGTGAGAGAGGCAGGTAGGGCTCTGATATCCAACACCCCAGGGGCTTGCATTTAATTCACCGCCCAGTGAGCTGAGCCAGGGTCTGAGTTATCTGAGGGTGTCTCTAGGAAGATGCCACAAGCTCTGGCCTGGATGTAGTTGAGGTTGCAAAGAGCATCGGTCAAGAGCCACCAGCATCTCACAAACCTCGCTCCTCTGGTCTCCTACACACGATTCCCAGCCCTACAAGAACCAGAGCTGCAGACTCTCAGGCCCCAAAGGACCTGAGAAGTCCCGTGGCCTCAACTTCTAGCCTCAGCTAGCATGCCTCCTGTGACAGAGAGCATAAACAAAGACACAAAGCAGGAAAAAAGTCCTTCACTTGAGCCCCAGATCCAACCCACACACTGGTGGGGAAAGGCTTAGGGTTTTCCTTGTTGGGAAGCACTACACGATCACCTGTATCATCTCTGGCTACATTAATAAAGGTAGATCATCTAGAAAGAGGAAGGAGGCAGGACACAGTGGCACATGCCTGTGATCCCAGCTACTTGGGAAGCTAAGGCAGGAGAATCACAAGTTCAAGTCCAACCTGGTCCACTTAGTGAGAACTGGTCTATAAATAAAATGTCCTTGGAATTCTACCTTGGGCCAAACCACAGGAAAGGGAAGGAATATCTAATAGTGGAGTCTGCCTAAGATGTGCAGAGATGCCCTGGAAAGCTAGTGAGCTCTCTGTCACAGGAGCATGCTAGCTGAGGCTAGAAGTTGAGGCCACGGGACTTCTCAGGTCCTTTGGGGCCTGAGAGTCTGCAGCTCTGGTTCATGTAGGGCTGTGGATCGTGTGTGGGAGACCAGAGGAGCGAGGTCCTGATTGGGAGGGACACCTCCCATTCCGAGCCAGAGAAATGCGCCCAGGGTGGCGGAGGAGTGGGAGGTCCTGAGGGGAAGGTGCCCGCCATGTCCTTGGAGCATCCCCTCAAGGGGCCACAGCTGGTTTGACTGCAGCTGTGAGGTCGGGCCCTAAATCTTGATCAGCTTGGAGGCCACCCTGAATGCCATCTCTAAGGTGGACCTGGGCCCCTTCCAGCTCTGCCCTCTCAGGGCCTGGAGGAGGCCGTGCACCTCCGCCGCCAGCTCTGACTTAGGAACTTCCTCCTCCAGCCTTCGGCCCTCCAGGGAGGCCTGGAGGGCAGGTTGGCGCTCACTGGTTGCTGGAGAGGATGGGGTCTGTTTGACCAATGGGCAGGTCGAGGTCCAGAGTGGCGCCAGTCCAGATCCCCGGGGCTCGGCAGGGCTGGCACTGCCTGTCACCTCTGGACATTCTTCTTGCTGGAAAAGGAGCTGGAACCCTCTCCTTCCACCCCTTCCCATCCTCATCCTTCTCGGCACCAGAAGAGCAGAGGGGGCAGGATTCTCCAGTGGCAGGAACCCTTGGGACCACTTCCCAACCTGCCTGGCCACCCAGGACAGAGTGGGGTTCCTGGGGCTGCCCTGGGCCTCAGTTTCCCTAGAAAATGCTCTCTGACGATTCCTGGGTCTGGCTTGGTCCACAAGTATGAAAATGGCACCCGATTCTCTGTGTCTTTGGGTGGGCCTGGGGGAGGGGCAGCCACCTGGCAGCAGCCGCACACATTGTGGGGAGAGGGAGCGGGGGGTTTATTTTAGCAGCTGGGGGAGGAGGTGTGATCTTTGATGGGAGGAGGCCCTGGAGCTGCCTCCAGATAGCTCCCAGCCTCCTGTCCTCTCTTGGTGGGTCCCCACGTGGCAGGGTCTTGGTGGGGCCCTTGAACATCTCTGCCGTCCACCCTCCTCAGTCCTCTCCTTGCAGCCAGCCATCAGTGTCCCCATTTCACAGAGGTGCAAACAGACAGAAGGATGACCCTCAGTGGGCAGTGTCTGTCCTGGGCCCAGCCCAATGGTTCTGTCAGATTTCCTCGTCCCTTGACCCCCACCTGATGAGAGAGTCAGGCAGTGCCTGCCCCCCGAAGGGCCCTGAGCCCCAGTCTGAGAGGCAGTGCCCCATGCCCTGGGCAGCCACCCTGCCTCTCCATGCTTCGGCTCTGGAGAGGGACCTTGGGTAGCAGAGTGGGCTGGCCTCGGCTGACTCCAGGTGTCGGGTGGACAGTCATGACTGCGGCCAGCAGAGCAGAGACGGGATTCCCCCTCTCATGACCGGTGGCTATCGTGCAGGTGCTCTTGGGGCAGCAGGGTGGGGCCACACCTGTGTCCATGGCCTAGATGTGACCTGCCCCTCCTGCCTGTTGGCCCCGCTCTGTGTTGGAAGGAAGGAGCATCTGGGTCCAACGTGGAGGCTGACAAGGAGTGAGAGCCCTAAGAAACCTGAGCTGGCCAGGCTGACACCCAACAGAGCGCCTCACCGACGGCATCGCGCGGGCCTGGCTGGGTGCTGTGGAGGTGGCTTCCACCTTGTGAGGCAGGGTTCAGTGACACCCAGGCCTCAGAGGAGCAGCAGGCTCCCCAGCAGGGGCCAACCAGGAAGGGACCTTGGGAACCCTGGGCTTAACTAAGACCACAGGGCTGGAGAGAGGAGGACCTGCTGGCAGGCAGTCTGTCTCAGCCAGCCTGGGGACCTAGAGGGGCCAGCCAGAGGCCCAGCCAACTTGTGGGCTCACTTCAATTTTGGGGCCACTGAGTCGGGGGACTGCACCTTGAGGTTGGGCTGCCCGCCCCATGGCAGGGCCTCTGAGCCACTGGGAGGGAATCCCTAGTCTGGAGGTGGAGACCTGGTCCCTTTACCAACTTGACGGCCAAGGCCACTCTCTCAGACTGCATGCTCAGGGATACTCCAGGTCTCACTGTGGCTGAGAGACCAGGGCACAGGTAGGACTGTCCCTGTCCCTGCCCAGAGGCCCCCCTGAGGGAGGTGGGTGGTTGGCACTGCTACATCCTCACAGATGCCCTGCAGCTTGGAGTCCCAGGTCCAGTGGGACTTGGGGATCTTACATGGGTCCACTCATTTATGCACAACCCTGTGCAGGCCAAGGACAGCGACGATGATGATGATGTCACAGTCACCGTGGACCGAGACCGCTTCATGGATGAGTTCTTCGAGCAGGTGGGAGCCAGCCCACCCTGCGTCTCCCTGTGCCCTGCCAAGACTTGGGTGGCCACTCTCCCCCCTGAGTGGGCCCAGCAGCCCGAGTACACCTGTGAATGACCTCACTGGCGGGCAGAGGTGTTGAAGTTCAGAGCGGAGCTGAGCTCACGCCTAACCCCCCACCTTCCCGCCCAGCCTGGCTTTGAGCAGGCCCTGGGCCCATGCCATCCCTCCTGGGCTTTTTTCTGACCCCCTGGCCTTGATCTCCAGGTGGAGGAGATCCGGGGCTTCATCGACAAGATCGCAGAGAACGTGGAGGAGGTGAAGCGGAAGCACAGTGCCATCCTGGCCTCACCCAACCCTGACGAGAGTGAGTGGGGGCCTGGGGATGGGCCAGGACTGACGGGGGTACAGACCCTGGCATCCCGCACTGCAGGCAGCTGACGAAGCACCAGTTGTCCTGGGGTCAAGGGGCCAGTGCCCACGGCCACCAGTTGGATCTGGGACTCCTAGGAAGTCTTGGGTTGTGGGAGGGGCACCCTCCCATGGCGGGGGGGGGGTGTCACGTGATCAGCACCACCCTCCCTGAGTACCCTGGTTTTTTCCTAAGGCCACAGGTCTGGCCACTGCCCTGCCCAGGATTCTGAGAGGGAGGGAGCAGTCTCTGATCAATAGGAGGCCGCCCTGCCGGCCCCGCCCCTGGCCGCCTCCCTGGGGAGCAGATGGCTGCTGTGGGAGGGCATGCTGGCCAGGCAGGCAGAGCTTCCAGCAAGAGCTGGCAGCCCTGGCACCTGGCCACTTGGTACCCAGGAGCTGGGCATTCTCACGGGTCCAGGAAGTCACCTCTCCCTCTGCACAAGGAGCCTGTGTACTCTGGGATTCCACCCTGTCCCCTGATGGTTCCCCTGCCCCGGCCCTCTCATTCCTGTTGAGATACTGATTAATACACCAGTGTGCGCCAGGCTGCCATGAGCAGAGCCGCCCAGGATCGTCTCGCTGGAGGGGCATTCACCCCCCCAAGCTGGCAGAGATTGGCCCCCTGTGGCTGGACCCAGACCCTAATGCCTCCAGGCACTCTGCTCCTTGCAGACTGCTTACCTCCTGCCCCTCCGGCTTCTCTGGAAGGTGCCAGCTCATGAGGCCTATGAGGAAGCACAGGAGAGGGACCTCCAGGGCAGGGGACATGCCAGTGCAACTATCATGCTTTACCCCCTCCCCAGGGATGTATCCAGGATAGATAGGTCATGATGTGTCTCTCTACCCATCTGTACCTGAGTCACTGCATGACCCTGTGTGATTGTTCCTGCCAAGGGTCAGGTGGTGACTGTGATTGAGAACAGAGCACCCTTAGCTGCCCCATGGGGTAGCAGGGCAGTGGAGCCTCTCAGCAGCCACCCTCAGGCCCCCGTGCCACTGTCTGTACTTCTCCCACTCTGTGCCAGGGTGGGGACTGTGCCTGTGAACTGAGCAGTCGAGACCTGGCTGAGACCCAGGCACGCAGCAAGGGGAGGGGGCTCCTCATGGGGTGCCAGGGCTGAGCGGAGTTGGGCAGGTTGGCAGGGGGTGGGGGGCTTTCCCGGGCCAAGGCTGGCATTGCTGCCTCTGGGGGCCGCCATCCGGCTGGGCTATTTTGGGTCTGAGCAAAAGAGGCTGAGACGTCAGAGCAGCTGGTAACCAAGTTTCCCTCTGTTTGCGCGGAGAAGGCGCCACCCCCGCTCTATGGAGACCCTGCTCCACCCCACTCAAGTTCCCCTTGGGAGATGACCCCTGCCTAGGCCCTTCCTGACACCATGTTGAGACCCGTCTCCGGTCCCACCTTCTGGGGAGTCCTAGGGGTTGCCTGGGGCTTGGGCATGCCAGGAGCACCCCAGCGGAGGGTGGCCAACCCCTCAGAGAGGGCCGAGCTGTGCACCCCCAGGGCCTCTGCCAGCCTAGGAGGGTGGTCCTGGTTAGAACAAGAGCCAGAGCACCATGTTGCTGCCCTCCTCCTCCTTCACCTCATGGCCCCAGCCACCTGTCACCTCCAGGCCAGCTGTGTCCAGGGAACCTGCCTCTGGACCTCTTCCTCAGCTCCCCCCACAGGCCAGGTGCCTCCTCCCCCAGCTGCTACACGGTGCTTGGCACCTAGGGGAGGGGCAGCTTTGTGAGGAGACCCCGATCTGCCCTATCAGGCACCTGTGGCTGAGACTCCAGGGGATGCAGGTTGGGGGAGGCTCCTCCCAGCCTGGCCTGTGTCAGCCCACTGGCTGGCCACATGCCCTTTTGAGCTACCAGGTACGGCGAGGTGAGCCTGCACCCCCACCTCCGACTCATGCAGGCGTCGAGTAAATGCTCCCCGGTGCCAACTCCAGCCTTGCCAGCTGCTCCACAATTATTTCTGCCTTAAATTTAGACCCATCTGTTATCTCCAGGGGGTGAAGGAGCCAGTGAAGGAGGAAGGAGGTGCCTCCGAAGGCAGTGCAAGGGGTGTGGGCTGTAGCTGCCGGCCTGGCCTGGGATTGGGGGTGCAGTCAGAGCCTTGGCCCAGGGGAGGGGAGGCCCCCTCCAGGCCCACAGTGAGGGAGATAGACCCCAAATATAGGCAGGGATGACCCAGGTATCCACACCCCACCCCTTGTGCCTCCCCAGAGACCAAGGAGGAGCTGGAGGAGCTCATGTCCGACATCAAGAAGACGGCAAACAAAGTTCGTTCCAAGTTGAAGAGTGAGTCCACTGATCACCCCCCGCCAGGAGGGGGGCACTGGGTCTTGGCTCCCTATTCACTCACAGCACCTGGCGCATCCCACTCTGGACATGGCCCTGGCCTTCCTGGCAGAAAGTGAGCAGCAGGGGCAGAGGGTGGTCGGAGCCACCAGACCCAGCACCCAATAGATGCAGATATTGGGGTGTGCCCAAGGCCTCACAGGTGGCCCCCTTCTACTTCCCGTATCACCATTCAGGTCATTCATAGACCACTCCACCCCTACCTCTGCTGGCTATGGGACGCCAGATCCTGGGCGGGCTGGGGACGGTGGTGAGTGGGACAGGTTGTGGCCCAGCAGCCCTGTGTCCCCCACCCCCAGGCATCGAGCAGAGCATCGAGCAGGAGGAGGGCCTGAACCGCTCCTCCGCAGACCTGAGGATCCGGAAGACACAGGTGTGCCTGGACTCCAGGGTGGGTGGGCACCTGAGGCCCCAGGTCGCGGTGGGCCTGACACCTGTTCTCCTGTCTTGGATTCCCAGCACTCCACGCTGTCCCGAAAGTTTGTGGAGGTCATGTCCGAGTACAACGCCACGCAGTCTGACTACCGTGAGCGCTGCAAGGGCCGCATCCAGAGGCAGCTGGAGATCAGTGAGTGGTGGGGCCGGGCCTGGAGGGATAGGGCAGGGCCTGGAGGGACAGGGTGGGGCCCGGGATGCCAGTGAGCACCCTGGAGAGGGTTTGGCTCAGAGTGACCCCACCTGCAGCCGGCAGGACCACGACCAGTGAGGAATTGGAGGACATGCTGGAGAGTGGGAACCCCGCGATCTTTGCCTCTGGGGTGAGTGTGACCCCACCTCTCCTATCAACACTAGCCCCGTCCTCACCCCAGCTGTGTGCTCAAAGCACTGGGCCTGGTCTGTTTGGACACAGACACCCTAGGGCAGGTGTTAGAAGAGGGAAGGGGCCAGGCTGAGGTCACATAAATGTAGGGAGAGTGGCTGCGAAACCCGTGCCCTTGGTGCCTCAATTGGACCCACTTCCTTGCTGTCCCTGATCGTCGCCTGGGCTTCTCCCATCGTCCTCAGGACCAGCTTCCTCTCATGGAGGATATTTGGCCGTCTCTACTTTCCAGTGAAGCTCTGTGCCCTGCCAAGCAGGAGGAACCTCCCAAAGGAGGTGGCACTGGGTGTGAGTTCCAGAAGAGAGGGGCGTGGAGGAAAGGCAGCTTAAGGACTGTCACTCACTCTGTGGCAGGCACAGGTGGGGAGTATTATCAGCCCTATTACAGGTGGGAAATTGAGTCACAGAGAAATTAGGTGACAGCTCATATAATGGAGGACCAGTAGGAGGCGGGAGGGTCATGGCTGGAGAGGAAGCCCAGCTTCCAGACCAGCTCTGCCATCCCAGCTGCCTTCCTCTGTGGCCTCTGCCCTCCTCATCCTGGACCCCAGGCCTCAGCTCACTGCTCCAACCCCTAGATCATCATGGACTCCAGCATCTCGAAACAGGCTCTGAGCGAGATCGAGACCCGGCACAGTGAGATCATCAAGCTGGAGAACAGCATCCGCGAGCTACATGACATGTTCATGGACATGGCCATGCTGGTTGAGAGCCAGGTGAGTGCCCAGTCCTCGCTGCCGCCTCCCAGTCCCCAGCAGCACGCAGGGCTGCACTGACCTTCCCCTTTCTGTCCAACACGCTGCCCTGCTCGGGAGGGAACAAGTCCTCAGGTAACAAGCCACCAGCTGTGGGCAGTGCCTCTAGGGCCCTGTGCACCCCCTCCTCTGCATGGCCTTGCATGACCCCCAGCCCTGCCTGACTGTTCCTTGGCTATTTATCAGGGGCCACCATGGACTAGATAGATGCTTTTCTAGGAGCTGGAGGGATAGCAGTGAAGGACCTGCTTCCTGGAGCCAGTGGCTCTTGAGTGAAAGAGCAGCATCAGTAAAGAGCAAGTGGAGTGTTCTGGCACCAGGTGCTCAGGAGCCACTAGGGGGAGGCAGAGTGCAACACTGATGCTCAGACTTGGAAGTGCCTGGGGTCACCTGGAAGGCTTGTTGCAGGTCTCCTGGTCCCCGTGCCCAGAGACTGGGCGGCTGAGGCAGAGGCCTGGACATGCATTCCCACAAGCCCAACAGCAATGCAATGCAGTGCTTCTGGTCTGAGGGCCACACGTGGGGGCACTATGCTGGGTGACCTGATGGCCTCTAAGCATGGAGTGAGTCAGGGAAGGCCAGAGGAGGGGCATTTGCACTGATGCCAAGAGATGAAAGGAGCCAGCCATGAAGACTTCACAGGGGAGGAGAGATGCGCTGGCCCAGGCCAGGGGACCAGCACTCCCCAGGTCCCCAGTCAGGCAGGAGCTGGACTTACTTGAGGAACGGGGCAGGGAGACCCTGCTGGATGGAGACGCCTCAGTAGGCTCTGCTGGGACCTGGAGGTGCCTCTCGATGGGGGGTGTTTAGTATGGGAGTGACAAGAACTCAGAGGTGGGGAGGCTGCATCCTGGAAAGACAGACCATGATGATGTGGTCACGAGTGAAGGCCATGGAGTTGGAGGGGGAGTCACAGTTTTTCCTCTTCCCCTGGGTTTTCTGGTGGTGGTTACAGTGTAGGTAATGGCGAGATTCCTTGTTACACATTCCTGCAAGCTGCTGTTACCCCTGGTGTCCCCCTCCCCTCCCTCCTTGCCTGGCTTCTCACCCTCGGAGCTTCATGAGGTCCCCCCTTCCTTTTTCTTTTTCTTTTCCAGCTTCCACATGAGACAAAACATTCAACCTTTGACCTTCTGAGTTTGGCTGTCTTCACTTATTGTTCTTAAGTTCCATCCGTTTTCCTGCAAATGACATAATTTCATTTTTCTTTATGGCTCAGTAAAATGCCATTGTGTATAAATGCCACATTTTCTTTATCCATCATCCATTGATGGACACCTAGGCTGGTTCCACAGTTTGGCTATTACGAATTGTGCTGCTGTAAACACGGTCTGCATGTGTCACGGTAGTAGGATGAGTTTAATTCTTCAGGATACAATACTGAGGAGTGCTGTGCAGAGGCTTTTTGATCTGATGTCATCCCATTTATTAATTCTTGGCATTATTTCCTGAGCTCTAGGGGTCCTATTGAGAGAGTCGTAGCCTGAGCCTATATGCTGGAGTGCTGACCCTACATTTTCTTCTTGGAGTTGCATAGTTTCTGGTCTGATTCCTAGGAGGACAAACACCTTTGCCTGGAGTCTTGTGTCGAAGTCAGATTGGTCCCTGGAAGGAGCATGAGGCCAGACTCCAGGGCCCAGGGCTAGGAAAGGGGTCTTAAACAAGAACTGGATGGAACCATTGTACCCAAGGAGGATGGAGTGGGGACTCATCAGTAGTCACCTCATGAGCTGTGGCCAGGGCAGGGTCAGACTCCAGCCCACACACTCCTGCACCCATCTTCCTCTGCTGGGCATCGGGGTGGGAGGTGTCAGGGTCCTAGCTAGCATTCTCTGCATGGTTAGTCCCCATCCCTTGGCTGAGACTGCATGGCTGGTTCCAACCCCAGATGGCTGCTCTGTAGGAAGAGGTGGGAGTTGTCCCAGAAGCCTGTGTGCCCAGCCAGGGTGCCTTTCCTGGGGGTCACAGGTGAGACATTGCAGCTGGGCCTCCCCAAGCCCCCTTCTCTCTTTCCCTTTAGGGTTTTCTTCTGGTGCCCTGCCCTGAGCTGCCTCCCTGAAGAGGGAGCCCTCTGGAGCCTGGACACCCCTGGCCCTGCAGGGGGAGATGATTGACAGGATCGAGTACAATGTGGAGCACGCAGTGGACTACGTGGAGAGGGCCGTGTCTGACACCAAGAAGGCTGTCAAGTACCAGAGCAAGGCGCGCCGGGTCAGTAGCGAGCACCCTCCTCATTCTGCAGCTACTCCACCCCCACCAAGCTCCAACCAGAGCCTTCACCACCCATCACTACACACTTTCAGGCTGTCACCCCTTCCCTGAGATCCCCCAGATCCTCTGGTCCTTGGACCTCGTTCTAGTCCCTCTCCAGCAATGCCTGCCTCTCCCTCTTGCAGAAGAAAATCATGATCATCATCTGCTGTGTGATCCTGGGCATCGTCATCGCCTCTACCTTTGGAGGCATCTTCGGATAGAAACTACCCACCTGCCGCTGTACTCTGGACGGGCTATCCTGAGGAGCCCTGGCTGCTGCTGCCTGGCTGGGTCGCCCTCCCACCCCGCCTCCTGGCTCAGACGCCCCCACCCCACCCCATACTGCCCCTGTCTGCCCTGGGCTTCCCTCTCCTGACTCTGCCCTGAGCCGTGTTGTGTGCATGATTTGTGACAGTGTGTGTCTGTAGAGGAGGCAGAGGGGAGCAGGGCAGGGAAGAATGGGGGGCTAGGGATGGGTCCATGCAGAGAAGACCCAGGTCTTACCCAGCTTGCTCCACCTTGACCAGGCAGGGCTGGCAGCTGGCACATACTGCCCTGGCTTGGGATCTGGGCTGCTTCCGGATCCCCACCTGGCTTCCACCTCACCTGCCCATCTTCTCTGTCCTTTGGCCTCTCCAGCTGTTCCCCCAAGCCGAGCCCCCTGAAGGGTGGGGACCAGCTGACCACATGGTGCTGCTTTTTGGGTTAGGGGAGGGTGCCCCTGAGGGATAGCCCAGCACTAAGCCTCTATTAGCTGACCACTGCCAGGAGGCTCAGGGTGCCATGGTTGCTGGCTCGCCAAGATCAGGCTCCCTCTCCTACTTGGGGCAAAGCCCAGCAGGTCCTCAGCCTCAGCCTCCCTTTGCACAGCCCTCAGCCCCAGGAGCAATTTCTTTGGGGTAGGTGGGACCCCAAGTGACCCACTGGAAGATGGGACCCCAGAAGAGGCTGGCTGGCTTGTGCCCAGGTGCCGGTGACCCTTGGCGCTGGGAAGGCAGAACAGGCTCCATCAGGCCTTTCCCCATGAAGGCTGCAGCTTGGGTCAGCCACTGTCCCAACAGGCCTCATCAGTTGGGACCTTAAGCCAGCACTGCATGTTGGGGACAATGGTCCCTGCTCTTCCATGCTCCCAGAAGCCAGATGTCACTCAGGCCTGCAGTCTCATCCTGCCCTTGCTGTCCCCCACTGATGTGCCACATGGTGTCAGTTGTCCCTGATGCAGTATTCAGCAGCCAGTCATGGAGGGCTCCCTCCCTCCCCTGCCATCTTGGGGCTTCAGGTCAGAGCGTGCCCCCCCCCCCCCCAAAGACTCCTGCCTTGTGGACAGGCAGAGAGTGTGCATGCGAGTGCATGCAGCAGGGCGGGGCCACGCAGAGTGCCCTGCATCCCTCGGCTTTGCTCCCGCCCAGTGACTGTGACCACTGTCCGTGTTGCCTTCTTGAACTGCGGCTTCTCCTCCACCCCTTCACCAAAGGTCTTGGTACAACCAGCTGCCCATTTTGTGGAATTTTTATGTAGAATAAACATTTGTATCTGTACTGCAGGCTTATGTTTGCCATTTCTCACTGGCTGCAGTGACATGGCCTTAGAACTTGGGGTGACCGTGGGCATTAACAGAAGGGGCTCAGATGCAAAGGACCACAATCTCCCCCGGCACACATGCCGACATCTGCATGTGGCCATTCAGTGGGCAACATCCAGCCTTTCCTATGAGGACAGTTCCAAAGTCCTACCCTCACTCCAGGTTAAGTGGCCAATGTCTTGACAGAGGCGAGGCCTGCAACCTGATCCCTGGGAGAGATATCACTCTAAGGTGGAGCTCCCCAGGCCCTAAGCCTCCCCTCCAGCCACCCATGAAGGGCTCAGCCCCTGCTCAGTGCCTAGTGCACTGCACGTCCAGCTTTAGTCCCTCTGCTCCCTGGCCCAGACCTTGGTTATCAGCCTGACAGACTCACACCATACATCCTGGAACAGGACCTGCCCCCTGACCACTTCGGATTGGACAGGAGACAGCCTCTGAGGCAATCAAGTGCTGGGCTAGGAACATCACCCACCAAAACCAAGGTGGCAGAGGCCTGCAAAGGCCTCAGGCCAGTGGGTACCACTGCCACACTCCACCCTGACCACCCTTCCCCACTCTACAAGTGGGCGCGATGTGCAAATCCCACGTGACAGGAGACCTTAGTTCAAGGAACCTACCCGTGCTCCTTGCTTCCACCCAGCTGGATCTTGAGACCCAATTCTTGCCTGGAGTCCTGCAGTAGCCCCCAACAGAGGGATTAGGGAGGCTGGGACAGGACTGGACTAGCTGGGGCAGAGGGAGGACAGAATGGGAGTTCACTTCCATGCAAAGTGGTTTATTGCTTTTAGAACAAAACAAGAAATCCTTATAACTTTTTTAGTGAAAATAATTTTAGAACTTTTCTAAAATACTATGTTGTCAATTGCAGAAGTAATCACTTCAAAACAGAAAACTTCCTGGGGGCGAGAGCTGAGCTGGCGGCTCCCATGATGGGTCAGAGCTGTCCAGAGGTGGCCGCCACTCAGAAGCGTGGCTTGCGCTTGCGACCGGTGTACTGAGTGTCGGGTCGGACTTCCCTGTGGGGGACAACAGTGTCTCAGGATAAAGAACCCACAGCCCTCCCAGCAGGTGAGCCCTCAATGGCCATGGCCACCGCCCCCCACGTCACTGCTCCCTGCCCGCTACTCACTTGCCCTGACGTCTGCGGCGCTCCTTCTTCTCCAGCACCCACTCTCGGCTCTTCCTCACCAGGCCTCGCCGCGCCAGCCTGTGGGGAACCCTGGGCCAGAGGCGTGGCCATGAGTGGTGGACTGAGCTGCCCCTCGGCACATGCTGACAGTTTAGGAGTTTTCCCCCAGTAAAGGTGGTCTCTCACTGTCCCCTCCTGCAAGTACTCCCTCTTCCATGATGGCGCGTCCCCAGGACAGCCCCCTTCCTAGTACAGGTGCTGGGGTCAGAGGTGTGCGGCCTTCACTTGGCATCTCTGTGGCAACTGTGCTGGGTGCACATACTTCCTGCCTCTAGGGGCTGCACTACTTTGTGGTCAACTTTGGCCAAGAGCAGGTCAGAGCTGGCAGTGCCAAGGAAAGCCAGAGGCCCCTTGCCTAGGGCTGCCACAGGGGGCCCTGATGGTCCTATGGAGTTGGGATGCCTGGAAGTGACCAAAGGGCTCCCAGCTGCTCATGTCTGAGGTAGGAAAACAAGACTACCCGGCTCCTGGCAGCCCCRACGAGGACCTCGAAGACTAATCTTGGCCCCCAGCTCTGGCTGAGGAGACGAGAACCCCACAGCACCAAGGGAGAGAGGCCACAAGAGGAAGCCTGCGCTGGTCCCCTAAAGCTACATCCTGGCCTGGCAGCAATGCTTCCAGCACAACACAGGCAAAGCTGCCTGCCAGTCCCCAAGTACCCGYAGCACAGCCTGTGGAACCAGCCTTGCCCTTCAGGTACCCTCGAGTACACCAGGGCAGAGGCAATGCTCTCTAGGCAAAGCCAGTGTGGAGGCCCAAGAGCTGCTCAGGGTGTACCAGAAAGGAGCACAGAGAAGGACCAGAACAAGGGACCCAGGGGTGAGGAAAGACAACTGGAAGAGCCCAGAAGACCCAGGAGAGTCCTGAGAAGCAAGCGAAGCCAGAGCCAGCAAGTCCCACTGAACCCCAGTCCTATTGCACAGGTGCGTGCAGGAGCTCAGTCCCAGAAACCATAACGAACCACTCAGCACGCAGCAGCCACAAGTGGGAACGGCCTGGGGGACATAAGGGAGCAGGTGGCTGGGGTGTGACTCACAGGCCAAGAGAAAAGGGGGCGTGGCCTCAGGAGTTTGGAGGGTCAGTTAGGATGAGGAAGCACGGATCAAACAGGAGAAACAGAAGAAGCAGAGGCCCAGCCTCACTAGACAAAGCCTTCAACTTGTTCCTAATCCACCTATTTGAAATTGTCCTCAATGTGATGAAACAGTAGTGACAGTAAGTTAGAAGGCTGCAGCCGCCCCTCTGTCCACATTGAGCCACGGAGCAGGAGCCTGCAGAGCAAGGGAGCCATGAAGCACACACTCGCTGTGCTCCACACACGGTGACAGGGCAGGGTCAACCCCTTTTAAACAGCTGGGGAATGGTGCCCAGTCCTCCAGCTCACCCAAGTTTACAGCAAGGACATGTGGTCAGCAGACTCAGGTATGAGGACCAAGTGGCATAGGGGTCAACACAACTGTACCCTCCTCTGCCAAGCAGACAACCCCCCCACCCAGCCAAGAGGAACAACCACAGGGCCCCTCAGGGGTCAGAAGGAGTGGTCTGGTGGCTGCAGAAACACTCAGTTTTCACCTTGAGACTGGTTTCATCCAGCAGAACCAGGGAACAGCTTCCCTCTCAGCCACCACATAATCCACTACACATTCAAGAATCCCGAGCACCTTCTATTAACAAGAGGCTATTGTTGATCCAACGATCTGACACCAGCCCCACAAAGATTTCATTTTAGTTGGGGATACAAATAATAACCACGAAAACAAAACACATGACCCAGAGCAGGGACAGGTGGAGAATGAAGGCGACAGGAAGGCCACCACAGACAGTGGGCAGAGAATCGACAGGAGATGATGAACCTTTGAGAAGAGGTCCAGTGTCGCTGCTGGGCAAAAAACAAGTTGAAATTTGTTTTCAAGTTTCAACGGACAGACGGACAGCAGGGAACCTCGGCAGCGACAGTCTAGGCCAGATTTGGGGCACATGTTGAGGGAGGGATGACAGGACTCGTGGGTGGGCTGACTGGATGTCACACGTGAGGAAGGACAGGAATGACTGAGAAGGCGGGGAACTTGTGAGTCTGACGGGCAGGTGGTGAGTCCAGGCAAGGGGACTGAGAAGCCGGGAAACCTGCAGTGGACTGAGGCTAGGGCTGTGACGAGGGCTCTGAAATCCTGGCTGACATTTAAAGTGGCAGAGATGAGAGCAGTGGGCCAGGCTGCCCAGCACACCACCCAGGAGAACCCACAGCACACTGAGCAGGAACAGCCAGCGGGGCTGCAGGAAAGCAGGACGGGTTGAACAGCCAAGAACATGTCCAGAAGGGAGTGGCCCCTGTGTCAGACCCCACTGAGCACACAGCTGAGATGAGGACAGCAGAGGGCAGGACTGAGAGGAGGCGGATCTGGCAAGATGGGGTCAATGGGGAAGCTGAGGGCCTGCTAGGTCGGCAGAATAGGAAGCAGGTGGAGGCGAGCAGGCGCTCTGCTTCCCAGGAAGCAGACAGACAGGGTGACAGTGGGCAGCTGATCTGGTTTGAGGGAGGATCTTTTCTGAAACAGGATAAATTGTGTGCAGATGCGAATGACCCAGGAGAGTGGAGATGAGGATGCAGGAGAGGGAAGGGGAGCCAGGAGGGAGCCACGCAGGGACGGGGCCCAGGTGCGTGGAGGGGGCAGCCTGCCATGAGGGGCAAGGGCATGTGCGGGCTGACTAAGGGAGTCGAGCTGCCCAGACACCCAGAAGTGTCCCACCCTCCAGCTCCAGCAGAAGCAGGCACAGTTCAAGAGCGATGTCCAGTTCCAGTCCCACCATGGCATCCCCACTGCATCTGAGGCTGAGTCTTGGGATGAAAGCAGAGATACACTACAAATCTGGTGGCGACAGGCCCTGCCCCTAACCGGACTCCGCAACTGCTTTACCTCTTATTAGTGAACATGGACTCAGTGGCCTCCTCTTCCTCCTGATTTTCGCTCAACCCCTGTAGGAAACAAAGTGCTCTTAGACCACCCTGGAGATCCGCAACCCTGTTGCCCAATCCAGACCCTGAGCCCAAGCCCCTGCAATAGGCACAAGGTCTGTTCCAGAAAGAGCCAACACCCTTTGGGACCTGCGGGGCAGGTTGCAGAAACAGAACATTCCTGGCTCTGAGCTCTGGGGCTTGGGCCACCTTGACCTCTGTTGTTCTCTCAGAATGCTCTTCAGGCTAAGCTCCATAGCTGGAAATGCTGGAGACACAGGCCTAGAATCCCAGGGTCCCTCACCTTCGGCAGGAAGGTTGAAGGCCCAGAAAACAGACAGAGGTAGAACCTGAAACGAGAATGTAAGGGAGGCCCTGACTCAGAGCCCTGCGGGAAGTGGCGAGTCCCACTGGCCCTGGGACCCACCCCGGCACCACCCTGGTTCATTGGCTGGCCTAGACAGCCCACCAATCCCGCTCACTTCTTTGCTTTGGCACTGTTGGGGTAGTCCACCACCACGCCACCAGTGAAGCCGGCCTTCGTGGCCTGGGTTGTGATCAGCTCCAACTGAGGAGAAAAGGGTGGGGAGCTAGGCAGGGGAGGCTGAAAGAGAAGGCACATCCCTCCCCTCAAGCTGCCAGGCTGCTGCCCAGACATGGAAGGCCTTTCTCCATAAGACGCCTTCAGTTAGTCCCACAACCAGCAGAGCCACAAAGAGGCCTGCACCTCCCCTGGGGGATTAGAGAAGGGAGATCCCTCGGGTCTCCCTCTCCAGCCCAGGAACCCATCTCTTCATTCTAACCTCAGCAAATGAATGGCCACCAGCTGGGAGCCACTCACTCATGTGTTAGTCAAGGGGACTCGTCCTGTCTGAGTGGACATGAATTCATCATTTCTACCCACAAGGCCCAGAGCAGACACCTGCTCACTCCTTGCCCTCCCACCATTTATCTGGTTGAGGAAATCCCACTACCTGTAATACCACCTTGTCTGTCAGGAGAAGACAAGACACCTAACTGGTACCATGGACACCACCCCACTTAGGATAACCAGTCACCATCAGGGGCTGCAGGGCCCACTCTTGGGTGCTCAGTCCCTGTTCCCACTGACAGCCTGTGAAGTTCCTTGTCTGTGGTCTCCTGGCTGCCAGAGGGCAGCCGAGGGAGCACCAAGGCAGCTCCCTGTTCTGCACTCGCCACCAACTGCCACCCCCAGCAGCCAGGGCTCACCTGCTCAGAGTTCTCAGGGTATAGCTGCAGGACGGCACGGGCACCACGGGCCTGGGGGCAACAGAAATGTCACTGCCTCACAAATGCCCTCAGGATCAGGACCAGGCGGCCTTCCTTCACTAAATACTCATGAGCTCCCAGCGTGTGCAGAACGCTGATCTTAGGGCCAGATATCTTCATGAACAAAAGACACTCCCAAATGGTCGGAGCCCACTTTTTGGTGGTGGAGGCAACCAACTGACAGCAGTGGTAAGTGCCAAAAGGAACACTCAGTAGGCTGGAGGGGGCAGGCTCCTGGGCTCCCTTTGGTTTAAGGCAGGCCTCGCTCTGAGGGCCCTGGGTGGAGTACTGATGTGGGGGCAGCTGCCGCTGGAATGAGCGAGGAAGGGGGAGCACCAAGGCCCCTGCAGCTCCGAGATGCACCCAGGGTGTGAGAGGGAGAAACCCAAAACCCTCAAGACCAGCAGCCAGCCACCTCCAGGGACCACTTGCCCGGGAAAGTGGGGTGAGGAGGGGGGACTAGGGTGGCAAACACACCCAGGTCTTTCAAACTGTGAAAAGAGTTCCTTTAGGATTTAGAATTTCAAAACCCATGACTGAATCTTAGGAAAAAAATGAAATCAACACCATTCCAGTTACAGAGACAAAATAAAGCTAACAAATGCTCTTAATGATAAATAATCAACCTGCTCCCATCTCAGGCCGACATCAGTGGGGGGGAACAGAGAGGGAGAGACATGGGAAGGGTACACCTTCCAGAGTGCCCTCTGTGCTGGCCATGCCATCCTGTTCTCACTCTGCTCAGCCCACGTCCCCAACTTCTGATTAAAATGTAGCAGAAAGCCCCAACTTCGTAGGATGCTCTTAAAAGCCCTCTGACCCTGTGTAATATCATCTCCCAGAAACCCAAGGAACTGTGATCGACAGAGGCTGCCCTATTCCAAGTTCATACCTGGGTCTCATACTGACTCCGGTGTCTTTGGGGATTGATTAGTGTCAGCCCACTGCACCTAGACTTCTGTTTTGGCTAAGGGCCTGGATAGCGGCAACCACAGTAAGGTCCTGCCACCCCTCCCATCATGGGACCCCTCAACTCCACAACACAACCTGCAGGGGTGGGTAGGAAGGACAGCCAACTTGGAAAAGGAAGAGACCTCATACTCACCAAAACAGAATACAGAGAGGAAAAAAAGTGGTACAGGCGCTTGGCAGGAATGTCGGACTTCTTGTTGGCATTACAGAGCCACTGCACAGCAGAGATGCTGGAAGGAAAGGGATCAATCAGGAGAGGGACCAACCCTTGGCCTCCCCGACTCCAGGCTTCTTCAGGCCTCTGGCACCTTCCACCATGGCCTCCTGCCCGGAACACCTTTCTTGGAAAGTGCTGGCCCATTCTTGGGCACTCTTACAAACTGGATCAAGCTAGCCAGCTGTAGGGAAGGCAGCGCTCACCTCCTGAGTCAGGCCCCCTACTCCCTTCCCAGTCAAGGAAGGGCACCCAACTGGTCCAGCTGCCCCTTTATGCTAAGGTGCTTCCTTCTGTGCCTGCCCAGGGTCTTTGCAGTCCTGATCTAAGCCTTCAGCAGTTCCCATGTCCCCCTCTCAGCTTGCCCCCACCTCAGCACCCAGGAGCATTTCAAATGCTTCTCAACCTCCCCTCACTCTGCTTCCATCTCAAACAGCCTTCCTCAAACAGATTGATTGCATTGCTCCCCGCCCCCATCATCTACTAAATAAAGCCCCGATGTCGTGGGATGCTCCTAAAAGCCTCCTGGGAACTGACCCTGTGCAATATCAACTCCTATGAAACCCTTCGTTCACCCTGTRCACCCTGTGCTCCCTGGCTCCCTCCCACCCACCGATGCCCTCTCTTGCTCCTCTTCTCTTGCAGGCCCCTCACTACCTGAATCCCACCCRGCTCCTCTCCTTCAAGGCCTTCTGCTCTTCTTCACAACTCTGGCAGGCCCCACAACTCCCCAGCGCACACCCCACAAGTGGCTTTGTGTTCAGCGGCCTGGCTGTCTACAGCCCTCGTAAAGCACAGACAATCTTAAAAGCAGCAACTGTGTTTTATTTCTACGTATTCCACAGCACTCTGTACAACATCTTACGTATACAAAATGTTTTTTAAAAAATACACCATAACATCTCTTTTCTTAAAAACAAAAATGAGCCAGGCATGGTGGCACACACCTATAATCTCAGCAACTCAGGAGGCTGAGACAGGAGGATTGCAAGTTTGAAACCAGCCTCAGAAACTTAGCAAGACTCTGTCTCAGAATAAAAAATAAAAAAGGACTGGGGATGTAGCTCAGAGGTAAAGCACCCCTGGGCTCAATCCCTGGTACCAAAACAAACAAAAATAATAATAAGAAGAAGAAAAAAATGAAGTTGGTGCAGCCATCCACACCTCTAATCCCAGTGACTTGGGAGGCTGAAGCAGGAAGACTGCAAGTTAGAGGTCAGCTCTGGCAACTTAGCAAGATCCTAAAAAGAGCTAGGGTTGTGGCTCAATGGTAGAGCATTCTGGATTCAACCCCAGTACCAAGAGCAGGGGGAGCTGTGGGTGCAGCTCAACAGTAGACTCTACACTTAGGATGCATGAGCCCCCCCCTACTCTCTCTCTCTCTCTCTCTCTCTCTCTCTCACACACACACACACACACACACACACACACACACACGACCACTCGCTCCTGATATACATACTATAATACTGGCCTTTGGTTTCTCACAGCTTAGAACACCTCACCTAATCATTACTGAAAAAACAACTGCTACCCTTGAAATGTCCCCTGACCTAAGTCTTACTCCTACATGTAAGAAAATCTTCAAATTCAAATATTGATTCCTCACACTAATCCTACCCCCAACCTAGGATTGCCAAAGGAGGTATCCCCAACTGAAGGACTGTAACTTCTCCCTTATCCCAGCATCCACTCCCAGCAACAGGGCACTGCTCCAAACACTGAACAGAACTCAGCTAGGAAGACAAAGAAAAACTTCATATTTCCAAGTCATTTCAGTGTTCTAAGATCTTTTACCAAACTAAAAACATGCCCCAAACTTGACCCAACAACCAAGAAAGAGCTCCAAAGCCAATGAAGACATTAGAGTATCCCAGGCACTCTCCACTAGTTGTTTGAAAAGAAGAAAACAAGACGTCTTCCAAGGCCCACGACATGGCTTCTAGAGGCTCAAAGCCCCTCGACCCCAGCATATACAAGCACACAGAGAATCCATACTGAAGTGTCTGAACCTGGCAATGCAAGCTGATCACAGTAGACAGTTTTGAAATTAAGCACACATTTTTGGGCCTTCTGCAATAAATCTGAAAATCCCAGGAGATGTATACTTTCAAATATCCTGTGTGACTCTGCTATAGCCAACTTTGGGAGGACTGGCCTACAAAATTAAGAACAGGAAATGAAGACCCTCACCTGATACAACCATCAAAGGAGCCTGGTTTGAAGGGGATACCCTGGCCCATATCCCCCAAAAGCAGGTCTCCTTCCGTGTCTCGGTCCAAGGCTGCATCTACATGGGAGAAAAGGACATAAGAGAAGCAGACAAGGAGTATAGCTGCGCCCTACTCATAAGGGTGGCCTCCCTGGTGTGAAACAGAGCATACTCACCCAGCATGGCAGGGCTGATGTCAATGCCCACCCAATAGTGCCCTTCATCTGAGAGATAATCTCCACTCAGCCCAGAACCACACCTGAAAGACACAATGGACAGGGAAGGCCTCAGTACTACTGAGTGGCAAAAATGCTGCCCAGGCAACCTGAACCAGGCCCCAGGATCTCACCCAATGTCCAACAGGTAGCAGGGCTGACCCTCAGGCAGATTAAGGAGCTCCAGTGCTCGCCCAGCCATCTTGGTCTGAACATCGATCATCCGTGAGCTGGGAAGGCAGAGTACAGTGAGTGATAAAGGAGTGCTGGGCTTACACCTCATCAGAACAAAAAACCCAGAAGAAGAAGGGAACCATCAGCCAGAGGTACTCCTTCTTGACCCTGCTCCTTGTAATTATAACTTAAATCTATTTAAGAGTGGTTCTAAAAGTTCATGGAATACAACAATATGCTATTTTTATTGTGACATAAATTATATACACCAGCTCCAGAGTTTTCAAAAATGCCTAAACAGGGAGCTCTGCAGATGGAAGTCTATGTGTGACTCGTAAAGACAAGTGGACCAGAGGTTTTTGCTGACCCTCTCTGTCTTGAACTCCAATTTGAACGGGAAGGAAAACCCGGGTATCCTGTAGAATTTTCGACAGCGTCGTATACTGGAAAGGGCAGTTTCGGAAGTCCCTGCTGAAGCTTCTACTTGCCAAATAACTCTGCACCTGTCCCAGTAGCTACCCTCCAGGCACCTCAGATACCTGTGCCAACGGCCAGCCGTCGTGAAACGTAAAGCGACAAGTACCTCGATCATGCGAACCTACCTATTATTTCCTCCCCACCCACAGAACCGACCCACGACAACGCCCTCCGCCCCCTTCGCCAGGCGCTGGAACAGCGGCCGCCCTGCGCTCGGAAAGCCACCGGGTAAAGCAGGCACGACCGCAGCTGGGCGCCGCGGTTACCGAGACCCCACGGGGATCACGGCTTAACGCTGCCTTGACGGAGGCAGAGAAGTGGCCTCGCTCAGCTCCCTGCTCTCCCCCTCCCCAACATTCTGCGTGTTTTCCAAGTAATGCCGACACTCGGGGCAGCTGCCGGGCCCCGGGCCCCGGCCCCCCGACGCCGCGGGATTCCAGGCTCCCCTCACTTGCGAACGTATTTCCGGGCTTCATTCTGGTCGTAAAACTGCGGGGAAGAAGAAGAGAAAGGCAAGTAGAGGAAAGAATTCAGACGCCACAGCCCTAGAAGAGAAAGCGATACCCGCGGGCCAAGCGCCTCACCAGCTCCGGGGGTCCGCTGTGCTCGGGTCTCCGACCCCGAGACGCCATCCTCTAGCCTCCTCAGCACGCCGGTGTTCCCGGAGCCCGGGTTTTATGTCATCAGCCCCGCGACTGCCTCGTAACGCGCATGCTCCGCCCCTCTCCCCGCCTTCTCTTGCACTTGATTGGCTACCTGCCGGCGCCGTCGCGACCAACACGCGGTTCCCATTGGTTAACCCAGCGCCGCCCACCTCCCTTCAAGATGGCAGCTCCACGCCGGCCTTGGTGGCCGCGGTTGTTCCTGTGGAAATTGTGGCAAACCCGGAGGTTTCCACAGAGTTCGGCGATACACCGGCACCTGCGAGCGAGGACTTACTCCGGAGGAGACGGCCCATACTCGCGCACGGCGCTCTACGAGCTGCTCGGCGTTCCCTCTACAGCCACCCAAGCGCAGATCAAGGCGGCTTACTACCGGCAGAGCTTCCTCTACCATCCCGACCGCAACTCGGGAAGCGCCGAGGCTGCCGAGCGCTTCACGCGCATCTCCCAGGCCTACCTGGTGCTGGGCAGTGCCACCCTCCGTCGCAAGTACGACCGCGGACTGCTCAGCGACCAGGACCTACTCGGGCCGGGCGTCCGGCCCTCGGCGGCGCCCGCGGCCGACCCGGCTCCCCGCGCCCCGCCGTCCAGCTGCCGGGCCCGTGAGGCTGGCGGGGCCGCCTCGGGCGCCCCCCGCACCATGTTCAACTTCGACGCCTTCTACCAGGCGCACTACGGAGAGCAGCTGCAGCGCGAGCGGCGCCTCCGGGCCCGGCGGGAGGCTCTTCGCAAACAGCAGGAGGACCAGGCCAGGAAGGGGTTCCAGTGGGAGGAAACCCGGGACGCGACTTTCATTTTTCTTCTCCTCTTAATATTCAYCCTCATCGGCCTTCGTATTTGATGAGAGACGGGAGGGCAGGAGAAGTGCCCAGCCAGCCCCGAGAAAACGCCCTTTCCTGTCCTCTGAACCATTGGCCTTGCCTAGTCTACCTCTGTTGGGGTCCGAAAGGATGTGCCCCTTGACCTCCCGAACCCGCCCATCCTCACTGGTGACCTGCACGTCCCTGCGGTCCAGAAAAGGAGGCTTCTCSATGCCCAAGAGGTCCCAGCATGAAGAATCCCAAAGGCCCGAAGTGGAGGGTTTTCAGGAGTCCCTTGGTTGCCTGCTTCCAGAGGTCGCCTTCCTGATGTCCCTTCAGGAATTCTCGCTCTGGCTTGATSGAAAAGCCCTGAGCAATATTTGTCTGCTACTGCCCCGTATTTGTGTCTCTGGGCTCCTGGGTAACCTTGAAACGTGCAATATGCCCAGTTGTTGGCTGCCAAAAGAAAAATTCTGGGGCTGTACGACACTTGTCTTTCTGTGTGTTCCCCACGCCACAGATGTGGACTGATCCAGGGTAAGGATGTGGTGCATGGAGAGCTTACTGCTCCTCAAGGGTCTGCCCCACACCACTCTCCCTTCTGTTGGTGGCACATGGGAGTGAGAAAACAAGGTCATCCATCAGGCATAAGGAGTGTGTGCCCCGTGTCCATAKGAATCTAGTGTGTGACCTTGGAGAAGGAGTGAATCATTTGCTCTCTTGAGGCCTGTCACCCTTTATTAACCATAGTTCTAGACCTTAGTGATTACAGCATGAAGGGCAGAATTCACCTTGGGACTGTGTGCCTGTCACCTGGGTCAGCCCTTTATTAGCCAGTCTGATTGCTAACTGTGCAGCCCGTCTCCTCCAAGAAATAGACTGACTTGGAGCTTCAGTCCCTGGAGGGTGGCCCATACTCCTGTTTAATTTGCAGTGCTTAKCAGAGGCCCCATAAGCCATGTCCTGAAAACCAAGCCACTGGAGGCTGTGAGAAACTYGGGGKGGGGTTGGAGTAGCCAGGCCTCCTGRGGGTCAGAAGCCTTGTTGGTCAAAGTGGAGAGTGTTCCTCCTGCACAACTGCATGAAGGGCTTGTTTGGAGTTTTGGGTATTTGGTTTTTCTCTCTGGTGCTGAGCAGCTGGGCAGTAAGACTCCTTTCACTTACCACCTGTGAGAGTGGGATGGCCATGAGATGGCAGAAGCTGGAGTGTCTATGCCCAGGGCTGAGTATAAAGCTGTGGGAGAGGAAAACCCTTACAGGATGTCTAGGCCAGGTTGAGGAYCCAAGTCTAGGGTGTAAGCAAAGCCCAAGGTGCTTAGGTATGTTAATGCCAGCTCGTGCTCTTGATGTTTTGTGTAAGATCCTTGTATAAATTGGGGTATACCCACATATAGTCCAGCTTGATCTCTTGAAAACTATTTGATTATCTTGCCTAGGAGACGGGGATAAATTAGTCATTAGATTCCCAATGATCATGATTCCGCAGTAAAGATTCAAACCCATGTAGATTCAGAGCTGCTTGGCTCTGAGCCTTGATTTACTGGTAGAAGGTTTTGGTTATTTTTTTAATTTTGTTTTGTTTGGTACCGGGGATTGAACTCAAGGGCACGAAGACACTGAGCCACATCCCAAGTCCTATTTTGTATTTTATTTAGAGACAGAGTCTCACTGAGTTTTTTAGCACCTCACTTTTACTGAGGCTGGCTTTGAACTCGCTATCCTCCTGCCTCAGCCTCCCTAGCTGCTGGGATTATAGGTGGGTCCTGGCGACCCACTAGAGGATATATGTACTTTTTAAAAGAACATTTAATGTTGTTATGTTTCAAGTTCTCTTTGTACATATAAACTAGGGGAAGCGGAGCTTAGCAGAATGTGCACAAGTGAGTGATTTCTCATCCAAGAAAGCAAGGCTTGACAGTACTTGGGGTGGGGGCTTTTGTTTCCATCAGAAGGGCTCTTTAGTTTGGGTTTGTAAAAGCACTAGGGATCTGTAACACCATGCACCCATGACATAGACCTCACGTTTGTCTTCTCCCAGCCAAGAATGTTTCCTGTGGCCCTAGAACCAGTAAATACATAGAATTTTACAGGTTTCAGACTGGGGGGATGGTTCTCAACATGAAAATTCTGGGGACGTTCCATAACATTCTATGCAACTCTAAACAGGTTAGTCTGTAAAGTTTATTAAGCATCATCTACCTGTCAGCCTCTCCTTTGGCTATGACAAGGACCACTGCACTCTGAGAGTGTCCATCCCCATAGGCTTCTGGTCTTTTTTTAGGCCACAGCCGGGCTCTGAGAGGCTCTATCCCTGCTGTTCCTAAAACTGAGTCTGAGTCTTCATGGAAAGGGAGATGTGTGGGAGGACTTTGAAGGATCCCCAACTGGTTCCCATGATAACATTTGTCTTCCCCTTTCCTGATTGTATGAGTCTTACTCTACCTGCCCTGGCAAGAGGAGGCTGCCATGGACACTAACCTCTGCCTTGTAGGGCTTTTCCCCCTGGTCCTGATCCTGCAGGAAGGCTCAGACATGTCCAGTCTTAGTCATTTTTCTTCTTTTGGTTGCAAACTAAAATCTCCCCTGAAGTTTGGACCTAGAACAAGAGACTAGCAAAAAGGGCCAAATCTGCCTCAGGCTGTGCTCAGTGGGGTGGGGAAGGGGGTGCAAGTACAGTAGAGGCCAAGAGAGCAGCAGGCACCAGGCCCAGGTGGGAAGACTTGGGCAGCCAGCAGGGACCAAGACGCATGTGTGTAGACAGCTGTGTGTGTCCTTGGAGTTGATCAGAACTGTGTTCCTTTTGAGCCAAACTGCTCCCCCCTCGTTGCTCTTTTATTTTATTGCTGGGTAAACTAACCCTTTGCAGATCCCAGCATTGACAGTAAGAGTCCTACTTTCTTCTGAGATCCCAGCTGTCATCCTGTGGGTGCATCTTCAGCCTCTGTCATGGAACCAGAGGGAGCCAGCCTTAGTCCAAGGAGTCATCCCTTGGATCACAATTGACTCAGGTCTTCACAGGTGCCAAGCGATTGGCACCAACACTCCTTTTTTTGAGAAATGGGAGAAGCCTGAGTCTTGAACCTTTGGGCTTTCAGGGAGGTCACCAGACGCCACGAAAACAGGCGAAGAGAAGGGACATTGGTCAGTGGTGGTACTCCTTCAGTCCTCTCCCTCACACCCCCCCCCTTTATTTTTTTTTAGAATTTTAATATTTATTTTTTTAGTTTTTTGGCGGACACAACATCTTTGTTTGTATGTGGTGCTGAGGCTCGAACCCGGGTCACACGCATGCCAGGTGAGTGCGCTACCGCTTGAGCCACATCCCCAGCCCTCACACCCCCCTCTTTTAAAGTGCTATGGATTGAACCCAGGGCCTCACACCTGACCCTGGGCATGTACTTTACCACTGAGTTACATCCCCACCCCCATCCATGCTCTTGAAGTTGGTGCACAAGAATGTGGGCTCTAACCTGGCCTTTGCGTACTCTCGATTCATCTGCCTGTGATTAAGTCACATACTGCCATCTGCCCATGCACAAGAGCATGGCAGAGAACCTGCCTCTCCTGCCCCCAGCTCAGCTCTGGGATGCAGCTTACAGCCCAGAGATTTGTGCAGAGCAGCTGAGTGTCCCTCTGTTAAGGTATGTGGACCTTCTGACCTTGCATTGCCAAGAACGCTCTCATCACAGCAGGTAGCCCATATGGGGGTTCATCTCTCACTGGCTGTCCTGAGGTCACTTGGTCCTGTGACTCTAGACATATCTCCAATTGCCATATCTCAGGCCTGGGATCCTTCGGCTAATCTTGAGGCTGGTTGACCTCCCGCTCACCCTACCTTTGCCCCTTTAGCATCCACACCCTCAGTCCAAGGAAGGGATGCATTAGACACAAGAAGGCCTATTTCAGAAGACTTGGGGCAGACAGATTTGTGGTTCATGGGCCACAACTAACCTGTTTGGCTGGGATGTGTCCTAAAATATCTTAAACCAACATTCAAAACTTGGGAGATTTTTGCAGAAAAATAGATTGCTAACCTCTTGAAAAATGAGAATATCTGCCACCATTTAGCTGACTTAACTTCCTGGGCACTGTGGGAGAAGCCAAGTTAACAGCCACTCACTCTGAGATGAACACTGCTTCCCAGGCTGCTGCATGCCCACCAGCTGGAAGAGGTGAGGTACACAAGGCCTCCATCCACACACTTGCACCATGTCCCCAGAGCACAGAAATGTCTTTCTGCGTGTCCACCAAGAGGGGAAACCAACCAGCTTGTCCCTTCTAGAAACCATTCAGCAACCTCTTGTCTGGAAGGTTGGGGTGAGCTTATAGGCAGGGCTCTGCAAGGCCACAGTGGCTCAGGCCTGCATAGCTCAGTGAGCCTTGATGGTCCATCTCTGGACAAGAGAGGAAGCCTAGAAAATGATGGGAAGCCAGTGGTTCCCAAACCAGGAGGCATATGTAAGACTTTCTGAGAAACAAGAATTTTGTGTTTATCTCAAAGGGTAGGAGATTTGTTATTTGGGGGTATTTTTGGTTTGGTTTATAAAAGCAGTAGTGTCTATAAAAGGACCTTGATGTAGTCCCTCAAGTTTGTACTTTTTCACAGAGGATCATAGTCAGGATCATTCCCTGGGGCCTTAGAACCTGGAAGCAGAAAGTCTTAGAAAGGAGGAAAGGCCCAGACTGCCTGACCTCTTCCAGAATATTCCAGAATACTCCATGTGCCTTCAAGCCAGGGGCTTCCTGAAGTTTTTTAGCCATCCAACTCGCCTCTCCCTTGGCCCACCCAGGAAACCCACTCCATCCCCACCTACCTCAGGTCTTGACCAGGCTTGAGCTGAACACTGAGAGGCCTCACTCCCTCTACAGGTGGGTCTGAGCTCTTGGTGGAAGGTGAGGTGTGTACATGGCCTTTGGAAGGACCGCATCTGGTTCCCATGGTATCACTCTTCTCCCTCCTCAGTCCCACTCTTACCTGGGTCTTTCCTTTGCTGTTCACCTGCCCTCTTCAGACTAGATGCTGCCTCTAGAGGCCATTCCCCAAGTCACGATAGCAGAGAAAAGCTTGGTCATGCCCAACCTCAGCTCCATC